TTCCCCCAGTTTCAAGTCTTTATGCTAAACTAAGCTAACTAGCCACTGGCTGTAACTTCATATTCACTGCACTGACATTGGGGTGGTATCAATCTTCTCAACTCTTAGGAAAAAAGTGAATAAGCATATTTCCCAGTAAGACTAAGAGTATACAGCTTCATTTGGGTTTTTAGCTGAATGCTAACATGCTCATGGTAAGGAGGTATAATGTTCACCATATAAAAATGCTAAAAATACATAGCACTAAACAAATTGTACAACTGAAGCTGAAGGGAATGTTTTGGATATATTTTGGATATTTGGTGACGAAACAAAATACTGGACAAATTACAGTATGACCTGATGGTGGTGCTAGACTGAAAGTGAGGGAGTCACCGGAGTAATTACAATCCATCAGGAGGGACATGAATGTCTGAACCACATTTTATGGCAATCCATCCACTAGTTGTTGAAATATTTCAGTCAGGTGAAGTGCATATCTGACTGTTTGTGTTTTGTCTTTTTTTCAGGGTACCCAATGCCACCCAATGCAACCCTGGTCAAGACAAAGTACAACAGCCGACAGCGTAACGAGGTGGACCTGGAGTGGCAGGTACAGAACGAGACAGATGGAGGTTGGACAGGTTTCATCCTGGAGCACATATGGGTGTCAGAGCGACCAGGAAGGAGAGGCAGCAGCAATGATTCAAAGGTGACGATCAGCCCACCAGTCTGGTACAGTAACATCATCAAGGACCCAGACATCAGGAGTCATACAGTAGGGAGTCTGATACCGACTGCTACCTACCGGTTCCGCATCACACCTGTGAACCACCGCACCATCGGACACCCCTCTGCAGCAAAGACTCCAGGTATAGTAAGTGAACAGAATGAGGAAATGTGGTCAGATACAGAACTTTTGGCAGAGAACTGAGCAAAGACACAGGCTTGAGTCAGGGATGTCTTAACAAAGAGATGGTTAAAAATGGGCAAAGGCAGGAGAAACTTTTAAAGATGTGACATGTGAGTTAGGTAATATTCAAACATTCAATGTCAGTGTCTTGCTGTGATTGCTGTTTTGATGACAGTCTAACTTATTTGTTTTTCTTTTTTTGTTATCCACTTAGGTGAAAGACTCACACAAACTAAAAACACATACAAACAGTTACACACACCTCACAGCTTCACAACTTCCACTCACTTCCTCTTTACCTCCTTCTCTGACCTGTTCCTTACCTACCCTCAAACTGGCCCTGTGTGCTACGTTTTGTAAATTATTTGTGTTAATTGATTGCTCTAACCAAGCCAGGTGATTGTTTTGGGTCTAGAAAGGCTTGTAGGTCAGTTGTCAGGGTAGGAAAGGCCAGTGGTTTTCAACCCCTGTACTGTCAATCAGTCAGTTCAGTCCACACCTATGCTCAGTTCAGCATACATGTGCATACAGCACAGCGGCCATAGTGGCCAGAAGTGACAATCATAAGGATAATGGTAAATGCTAAAAGAAAGTTTATCAGTACCACAAGCAAAGAAAAGCCACTAGTCAGCAACCTGACTCGGGAATGTCAGTTAAAAAGCAATATCTTCATAAAGTTTGCTAAATTAGCCACCATGGAGTGTACTAAACTGAGCAATGGTGTTTTATTGCTTATGAATTAAACTTTTTAATTGTAAGAGGAAGAATGTGTTGTTTCCTCTTTCAAAGGTTACACAGTCTTGCTCAAACCTAATTACTTTGTCAACCAAACCTAAGAACAAACACATTTTCCCAAATTATTTTAGTAATTTACAGTGAAGCTAACATTTCGAACATGGGTTGAGAACCACTAAAGGAAGGTGAAAAAACAACATGAGACATTTATTAAGTGCAGCAACTGTCTGTGTTTGGTCAGAGGTGTACTATTTTGCAATGTGTAACTCTGATGTGTTGCAGCGGAACCACGCTACAATTTGTACCCTGCTGTGATTGGAGCAGTTATAGGCGGGATGCTCTTTGCAGCCATCCTCACAGCGCTGCTGTTTGTGTTCATAATTCGCAATCGCAACAACAATCCTCGTGAGTCCCACACACAAGCACCGACATCATAATGACTTGAGCAATAAAGCCATTGTCCCGATATGTTACATAAATGTTCTGTGTTTCTTCCTCCAGGACTACATGACATGCTGTTTGGTTTGTGAGTATCTGTATTACTGTCTATATACTATATACTATAAAAATGTGCAGTTTGTCATAATGTTGACAGCCAATGTGGTCTACAGACATGCTATTAAAACGGTTTCTTCTTTTGGTATAATCCAGGCAGCACAGCCAGTCGAGGGAAAACATCAACATCCCAGAGGATGAAGTAGTAGGCGGCTCAGAGGGAGGAGTAGAGGAGATTGGTGGATTATCCAGTCCAGGCAAGATGAACACAAATTAAACGCAGTTTCGTGAAAATCTAAAGATGAACTGTATGCTTCAGGGTTACCAAGCAGGAACCTCTGGGTCTTAAACCTGCATTCTTTCTAATAGCAATAACAACAGTGGGCGACTACACCTGTTGCAAAAAAAAACCCAGATTGTATAGAAGTCTATGAGAAAATTAACATGATTTATTACCTCAGTAAACACTTTCCTAATGAGTTTATGGTCTCAGTTGCTAGTTTCAACTCTTCTTCAACACAACATGGTGTTCACTTAGTAAATTACGCTCCAATAAAGAGTAAAATAGACAATAAAGCAGGGTACGCTTTAGGGAGTGGCTACACTGTGATTAACAAGTCACTACCATGGTGACCTGTCACGCGTAGCAATGCATATCAGCACCTCCAAATATGGTCACTTCTGGTTCCAAAAAAACAAGATGGCGATGGCCAAAATGCTAAACTCAAGGCTTCAAAGGTGTAATCCAAAAACCAATGGGTGTCACGGTGGCTAAATCCACTTCTTTTACACAGTCTGTGGGTTACGACACTTATTTGGACGTCAATATTTAAGAAATGTCACTTTGGTTAAATTGTCTTGTTGTCTTCACTCATTGTCAATCTTAGCAGCTATTTTGTTAGTCTTAATCTCTGAATGAAAATTCTTATTTGTTTCAATGACATTTTTATCTTTAATGGTTTTAGACCAGTTTTAGTCAACGAAAAGTCATTACATTTTAGTTCAAATGTTTTTTCTCTTTAAACTAATTTAATTAGGCCAATACAGGTATTGTAAATTGGAAACTAGGGTCTTATGCTCTCAGCAATCTTCTTTTTTCCCTAGGTCAATGCCATGTTCAATATATGTTTCCTTGGGTCAATATGTTGAAATCACCCACCTATAGCTTATAGCCTACTGACGTTATACTCCTTTAAATCTACATCCTCAGATTTGTGGGCATGACAGGTTTCTTGTCTTTAGACATCGATATCTCTACAGAGACTGAACAGATTTTTACCATTCAATCAAAATTTAAAATGTCCATCTCCCTTCGTTGTTTCTCAAGTTCAATTTCAATTGCAAATATAGCCCTTACTTCAAGCCCTTTGACAATACGACCCTGGGAATACAGGGATAAGCCATGCATGTTCAGGGCACGCAATCAAGCATTTTCTGGTAAGGACAAGTAAGTAAAAACGGATTGAGCATAATTACAAGTTGCTTGTCCAAATATATAAATAAATAAGCTTGCACTCTATAAACGTTATAGCAGCAACACGTGATGTGCATTTAGACACAATGGAGAACAGGTCTGAAAAGACAACATTTGTACCAATGTTTCACTCAAACGATAGCACAATACATTATAAAGCATTTTACCAAAAACGTCACTTGTCCCAGACAAGTTATAAAGTTAATTGTCAAGCCCTGCATGTTTCACTCACAAGTTATGAAGCAAGCAAACACATTGTGCAACCAATGTTAGCTTGGAAGCCAGGGTCATCTGTTCATTTGATTCAGCAAAACAAAAACTATTACAGTAAGAGAAAAAGCTTTTTTTTTAACAGACAAAAGGCAGTTGGCAAGTTAACATAGACGACTTCCCAGTAATATTGACTTAATGTTATCAAAAGTATGTGCTAAGTTACCATTAAGACTTACAGTTAGCTCATTTAACTTGGCATAGATAGCAGGGTGGTAAGCCTTCAAGTGTCTCCTCAGGTTGATTGTATTCTTCCTATCTATTTAAGCTACATGGCATCTATCTCCCATTACTAGTGTATTGTGTGTTTCCATAGCTCTATTCTTTTTTTCCGTCCAAGCCCTTTTTCCGTTGCAGCAGTTACTTAACCCTTTTTTCTTCTTTTTAATAGCAAACAATATTAACAATACATTTAAAATAACACTGACATGTTTACTGAGTGCATTAATGACTAAATGTGAATTTAAAAAATTGCATCTGGCTTTTTTGCAAGCTAGTGATGTATTTAAGTGTTGAAAGGCCCTGCACTCCAAACGTGATGTTTTCAAACATTATCATTGGTCTACCTGATGCTGACCCTTGACGTTGGTCTTTTACAGGTCCGACCATGGCTATACCCCGGGCATCTTCACCCCTCACCACCTCACCTGGGAGTGCCATTCCCACTATCAGCCAAGCCCCTCCCCCTGGAGATGACAATGAACCCGTCAGCGTCACAATCACCGTCAACGTTACAGACCCATAGTCATCAGACTCATTCAGTTATAATGTAACCTGGAATTGTTGTTTTTGTAGACAGTAGATAGTTTGCACAAGCATTACAGTGACTTTGATTCAACTACAATAGTCATTACAAACTCTCCTCATGCAGTATATCTTTCGCTAAAAAAACATTGTCATACTGTAATTTGAAGCATAAAAATAAGTGATTCATTGATTTCTACATTAAATTATATGTATGTATACTCCTTTGCGGGGGGTTTTAAACAAAGAAAACTGTTTTAGCAGGCTACCTACCTACTGTTTCCTTATCTAACAATTTCACACACAGAGGATAACATTATCCTTTTCTGAGTCAGAGGTCATGTTGATTATATGAATCATGTCTCGCAGAACATTTGACTTACAACGTTGGTCTTTTAATAATTTATTCAAGACTTTGGACTATATCATGTCAGACATCAAAACAAGTCAACATCAGTCTTTTTAAAATGCAGAACATAGACAGACACACACACACACACACACACACACACACACACATCTATCCCTTTGTGTATCTACCTTCAACAATAATTACATTCTAACATTAATCTAAACCTAATAACAAACCCCCTTAAAAAAGTATCTACCCTCCTGAAATCTAACATTTAACTGCTTCTCACAGGGATAGGAGCAAACAAGAAAACAAAAAGACACAGAAGAGCAGAATACATTACAATACATCAGCGGAACAGCTAAATATATACAGGTCCATAGTACTGTGCATTTATTTGCAGAGGCAGCTCATGTGATCTTCTGAGTGCTGATGATTTCACCGAGCTTCTGTTTTATTTTCACAAAGAGACGCTTGAACTCCAGACCGTCACCCTGGTAACACACAGATACACGTCAACATCTTGATGAAGGAAACTTGCACTGAGATAAATGCACTCTTAGGCAGACCCATTAGGTGATTTCTTAATCCTTTTATTAAGTTTAATTAATACTGCTAAAGAACACTTAATAATGTGATGATTCTCAGGCAAGTTCTGGATTTATAAGGAGCATCTTTTTTCTATGATTTATAAGCAGATTTGTGGACATTTATTTGCAAAGGAAATCTGTGGTGTTTGACACAAATTGCAGCAAATGGCCCTAAGGGGTTTTAAAATACCTTGATTGCCTCCATGAGCTGTGTGTCACAACCAAAGTTTGAAAACCCCTCTTTAAAGATAAATACGGCTGAAAGATGTAACACATGTTCTAACTAGATTTGTCCTAGGGTTATACCACAGTTGACTATACCCACCTTAGACAGTCTGAAATCCAGCAGCACTATCTGATTCAGCTCTAGTAAATGGACTTTGAAGATGAGTTTGTTGTTGCGTTTGTCCAGTGTGCTCACTGTCACCTACAGGGCAGAGAGGTTAATTATACTAAACTGTATTATGGTCTATAGAAGCTGAAAAAGGTTCAGGATGTTAACCTGGTCAGGTGTCAAAGAATGTATTTCACCTCTTTATAATTTTGAACCCTGTATACTTGAGTACAGATGTACCTGTTTGGTGCAGCTGAGTTTGAAGCCAAGTGCCAGGCCGTCACAGGCATCTTTCAGGGCCGATAAGGAGGCGTCGGCATTCACAGTGGTGAAGAAACGCGTCATTCTCCGCACTAATCTTTGCCACGGTGACTACGCACAGAAAGTAAGCAGAAGTTAAAGACAGCATTAACGCATCAATGCAGCATTTTAAGGTAGGATTTCAACGTAAAACTGCTTTTGTATAGGAAAACAGGACCCTGTGCCTGTGTTGCGGGAAATTTGTCAGATATCTTCTATAAAGAAATTACAAACTGATGAAGCACTGAATATGTGAATTACCTGACTGGCCCCTGGTGTGCCCAGAAGCTGACTACCCAGCAACATGTGCTCTGGCTTGGTCGGCTGAGAGAAGCTGACCTGACCTTCGGTTTGGCTGATTAACAACATGGCTTCCCAGCCACCTGCTGCAAAATCAGGCTGAGAGCTGGAAAACAGCATCCTGTCATCACTGGAGGAGGGAGGAATGTTTTAAGATTATAGGCACAAAAAGAAATACACCATTGAGTTAGAATAAGAAAGAGAGCTCTGACCTGTTGGCCCGTGATACAAGTCCCGCATCTGATCGAAGTTTTTTTCCTCCTGAGCACAGAGGCGGCTGCTTTACACCTGCAGGAAGACACACACAGACATCCGTCCAGTGAACAATAAACTTTGAGTTGAACTGATTTTATTACTAAACAAATATTAATACTTGCCTTGAGTAAACCAGCGGTCTTTCTTTATGTCTGCGATGGTGATCCGTGCATCTGGACTGGCCAGCAGTAATTTGGACAGCAAACCTGAAGAGAGAGGTTGAATGTGAATTAAATAAATCTCCACGACTATTTGGAACTAAGTATTTAAACTTATATACTTAAAAAACATATACACTTATTTGGGACTTACTGAGAGGCATTGGTTGTATTTTCTTCCAAGGAGGTAGATACGTTTTCTTTTGAAGCCAATCTGAATACTCTTGACAGCTCTCAGTGGGCTGGTCCCATGGCAACTCTAAAAAAGAAGCAACACAAAGACGGACACAAAATGTTTTCCCACATCTACTGCATACAGACAATGCTGCTGCAAAACCTGAAGGCTCAAAGAGAAGAAATAGCCCAGGCCAGTTGCCTTCTATACATCTATATATGTAGAAAGCTCAGCTAATGTATGAATTCGTGGAAATGGTCAGTGTTGTTGAGGTCACCGCAACTGTTGTAATAATTCAGCCCTTTATACAATGAACATCCAATTACAATACAATTCTAAAAATACATATTTAAAAAAATACATAAATATTTTATAGTGTCATATTTCCTTATTTTATTTATATATATATATATATACACATAAATATTTTATAGTGTCATATTTCCTTATTTTATTTATTTATATATATATATATATATATATATATATATATATATTTTTTTTTTTTTAGGGAGATGATTTGGAACCAGCCTGAGTGTTTTTCTGTACCTTAACTATATCATTTATAATGAAAAAGAGACCCTGGATCTGGATCAAATCAGCTCTGTAGTAAGATCTTGTGAAACAGTCACTGCCGCCACTCAAAACATCTATTGATTGTCACAAAATCGTTTGATATGCTTATACTCAGGTTGTCTTTGGGATGGTTTATGGAAATCAGTAGTTCAGGGGTTTGTCATAATGTTGTGCCTTAGTTACCTGTGGGCTACAACTTCAGTCCTGTTTTTTTTTATATATATATATATTTGTTGAAATGTTGTCAAATATGCACCACTGAAGTACACCAAATTAGCTATTTGTAGTTTCTTTTTGCAGTGTACCCATGGATGTACTGACAACTATCGCTGGATTACTTTGATACTGAGGAAAACTTAACGCAATGATTCTCAGGAGAGTTCTGGAGTTTATTTCCCATGATTTCTATAAGGATTTTTGTGCATGTTAATTGACATCGGAGATGAGAAAAGTGGATATAATATGATATCACCCCCTGTAGCCTAAACCCAGACTTTGTGAGCTTACCTCCAGCCAGCATGGCAGTGAGGACTATCCCACAAGCCCAGATATCTGCAGGTTGAGCTTTGAACTCTTTCTGGCTGAGAAGCTCCGGAGCCACGTATGGAAGCGTCCCACAGAGTCGACTCAGAAGACGCTCTCGTCCTTTGAAACGAAACATGGTGGCCAGACCAAAATCTGTCAGCTTCAGGTTATCTGAAAGGTAAAAGAAATCAGCAGATGATGCTTATAATATTTGCAAACCAAAGTTATTTCTTCAACACCTGCATGCACATTGTATTTCCTCACCTTTGTCATCCAGCAAAATGTTCTCTGGCTTTATGTCTCTGTGGGTGATGCCAGTAACGTGGAGGTATTCCTGCAGAAGTGCAACTGAGAATTTAAGAACAGCAGAAAGGTGTGATGGGCCAAATCAACACATAGATTTACTTCACTCACCACAGCCGCTATTAGCTGCTGGAAAAATCTATGAGCATCTTTCTCCGCCATCCCCACATCAGGCTCTGAAATAAAAGAACCTTTTAATAATCTGCACGATCCATTTTAATTTGAAGAGCAAAACACAAGAGGGCACATATATCAAACTGATGATCATATTCATCAAACTGTCAAGCGAATTTTAAATTAAATAAATTTTTAAAAACTACTAAGTAGCTGAAGACTGAATTGTTGGGTTAAAAATAAAAATTGTTGCTGTATCACAATCCTTTTCTTAAAAGCAAGTCTACACCCTTAAGAAAGCAAAGACCCTTTATTTAATTATTTTTGCACATTTTCTTATCCCATACTTTATAATGAATATAAATATAAACTGGGTAGAAACATTGCTATTCTTGCATTGCTCACTATGCTGTAAAACCCACTAAAGAAAATGTGTGGTATTGCTGGAGTGTTTAAGTTTTATTTCATTGTCCAAAACATTGAATCCATATATTGATGATCGTCTGCCTCACCGATTCGGTCGAAAAGCTCTCCTCCGGTGCAGTACTCCAAGAAGAGGTACATAGTCTGACCTTCCTTCCGATGGCCAAAAAATCGTACGATGTTGGGGTGGTTGAGCGTCTACCAAACAGTAGCAAATGTCATGTAAATTCAATTTTAACATTTCTGGTAAAATAATTAATTTCAAACCACTAATCAGAACTGTGGTTCCAGTCCACGTTAATGAATTTCCAACAGTTGCAGCAGCTGAACAATGTGTACATGTAACATGTAAATACATGAATCATATTTTACTTATACTTGCATTGAGGGATTGTTATGTACGTTAAAACTAAAAAAGTATTACAAAGTCATATTTAAGGCAACAAATTGACAACTTTACTACAACTTAACATTAAAATATTTTGTTTCTGCTACTGTGCCATTAAACCCAGCGTTCATACCTCCTTCATTATCCTTTCACACTTTAGGTCACACTCAAGACACTGAAGGTGACCTACCTTATGGACGCAGACCTCCTTCTTGACATTTTCAGCACACTCTTTAGCCTGAGAGGTATCGATCACCTTCACTGCCACAGCCTCCTCTGTCTGTCTGTTCACCAGCAGCCTCACTCTGCAACCATGAACACAAAGAGCAAAGATGGATTAGAGCACAAAAGACAAGAGAGAGGTGAAGGAAAGTGAAAGGACAAATCGAGGCTGTGAGGAAGATGGTCTTTCAAACATGGGAAAAACATTTGTTGCTTATTGGACTTAAGTGCCAGTACAGTACTGTGCCAGAGAAAAAGTCACCAAAGTGTATCGGTGGTCCATTTCAAGCTCTGTTAAAATAGTATTCCTGTGTTAACTGGGTAAGTAAGTACATATTTACAAAATCAACAGTACAAAATGTACAAAAACAACAGTGTCAGCAGTCCGCAACTGCTGTTAACTCTTCCAGTAAAATTTAATGCGAAGCATCACAAGAGCACTGATCAAATAAATAAATAGTGTCAGTTGTGTTAGAAAAACTGTAGGTGAATAGTTTCTCCTTTTGTTTGATTTTGCCCTTGATGTAGTCAAACAGAAATATTGCTTTGCTGGTTTTCAGTTCAGATTTCAGGTGCATAAATTTGTGCACGTGCGTGTCTGTGTGAAAGCAGCTGGAGATGCATTGCTTTGAAATATGGCAAATTAATAAAAATTATTAATGATGATGATGATGAAGGTGGATTCATACTCTCCATAGGCTCCTTCTCCCAGTGTCTGAACAAGGTCCCAGTCTTGCACAAAAGGCACAGCCATGCTATAAACAGAAACACACATTCCTTGTCAGGCTGTCATAGAAAACACACACTCACATTTTCCAGGCTAAAATTTACCATATAATTTTTTTTACTTCAGACACATACGGTCTTGTTCTGTAACGTTTATCTTGGAAGATGAAACGGCGCTGTTAAATGTCATTAACTTTACATGCCGAACTAAGCTAAACGAAACACAATAAACAAGTTGAAAAGCAAGATGTCCCTGACTCGTACTGAAATAATGATCTTACCCGCACAGCCGACCGCCGCCAGCAGCGTTTTCCAAATGTCTTCACAAAGATTGGACTTTTGTGTCTCAGAGAGTTACTGGAGTGAATGTGACACAAATTTGGCGCGTTGTTGTTTTCCTGTCGATAACTTCCGTTACGGTCGTCATTTCCGCTTCTTCTTCTTCGTGTGCGTTTTCCTCATGGACCTTCATGATTATCGCCTTTCCACTATAATTTAATAAATAAAAATAATTAATTTTATAAATCCGTAAATAATGCTGGAACTCTTTTCTTTATTTTATTTCTGTGTATCTTGTTTTTTCTCATGTCATGCCTATGTCATGCGAACTTCAACAACATAGCCTTACTTATTTTTTGTTAAACATAAAAAAAAAATATTATTATTATTTTTTACTTAGCCTGTCATTCGTAAATTTTTGTTTCCCTCCATGTTGTAGCTATTTACCGATGCTCATCAAATTATAATCACAATGTGGGCCCATGTAGGCTATATGTTGACCATATCTGCTAACCCGCATTATACATCTGTTATATAACTAAGCACAATAGCCTAAAATCAAAATGTAGGCTAAGAATTACTCATTAATACCAATAAATATAAAAAGGACCGGGACAAAACAATCGTTTGCAAAATTTTAAATTGATTTCTTAATAGTAAAACTTGACCTTAAGTTTAGAAAGATTTTGTCCTCCCCTTCATATGTCTCACAGTGGTTTGGTCTGCCTTTATCAGACCATCAGTGAGAATTTTTCTAAAAATCTCTCACTCTGAGATATTTTTATTGTCCCCACAGTGACATAAAATAAAAAATATCTGCCCTTGATGGACTCTCTACTATTTACTGAAGTCTGTGACAAGTTTATAAGAAAGGCTGCACTGTTTAAACAGTCCTTTAGTGCCTAGACCTACATGCCAATAGTGTGTTTTGTCCAGACGGTGGCGCTAGAGGAGAGGCAATTGTGTGAAAGGGTTTATGCTCTTGAAAGCATGAACATGCTTTGATCAAATCAATTTAAATACACAACTCAAAATTTAACAAACGAATCAATCTGTATTAGAATGGGAACAGGCATAATTGTCACTGACCCATCCTCAGTTTCTTATATGGAAAGCATACGTTTCACGAAGCTTATTAAAGTAAACACTACTGTGTGGCTGCATACCATCTCAGCATCAATACAGTGACAAATCCTAATCTGGCCTTGATCAGTTGAGATATCATCCCTCTGAGAAGCTGGAGGCACACCTCAAACAAACTTGTGAATGCTGTGCAATTATAAGTTGCATTGCTTGGAAACTTTGAAGGAAGGTTTATTTTTCAAGTAACGTGAACACACCTGGTCCAGGCCCAGGTGGGGGCCCGGGGAGTCAGCGGAGCCTTGGGCCAGAGCCTCTGTTTTAAGTGGCATAGCATTTCCAACAGGTCAATCAAATGACTACACTAAGACACAAAACAACTATAAAGAGACACAAAAAGAGACACATTGCCTACAACTTTACTGAGACGCAAAATGACTGCAGAGACACGAAAATGATAACAAGGAGAGGAGAGGGAACATAAACAAAGATCATGTTGTCCTCTGCTGACGTTTCAATATTTTAATTTATTTGTTTTTCACTAACTCCTCACAGTGGTTAGTGAGTCTGTCACACAAAGTAAGGAAAAAGGAGTTAATCAAAGGACTGTAAGGGTCAGGGAGAGCTCCAGTTAAATCAGTCTGGTATGGCAATGTTCAATCAATACCTGAATCAACTTGTCAATAAGCAGGTTTTGGGAAATGATGAAGCAAATGTCTGCACTTTGTCTTAGTTTCACAATTACCTTGTTTTTTCATACAACATGTGACTGTGTGTACACATGCCGGGAAATCCAGGATCAAGAAAGGACAGGCTATGGCCTACTTAAGGGTGGTACACACAAAACAGAGTAATTTGGACTACAACAATCAAAATGAACAGGTAACCTGAACTGCACTGATTTTAATAAAATGCTCCAAATCTTTCATGAAAAGGGACAAGCATTGGGAGTAGGAACTCAAGATTTCTTTTTAAATTAATTTTTTGATTTTCATGAAGTAAACATATAGTTAATTAAAAGTTCCTTATTTCTGCATTGGTCAAGTTGATTGAAATTGAATTATTTTGATCTCCCTGCTATGAAAGACTGAAAAAGTTTGGGTTTTTTTCTGTGACACACACTATTGATTTCCTTTTATTTGCATTGAAGTTAATAAGTACCAGGATGGTCTATGTTAATCCAGTCCCTCTTTCTGAACATCACTGTCCCTTTTGAAATAAATGTACGTACAGCTCCTGTCATTTTATTTTTATATTGTTCCCCTGTTTAAGGTTCAACATGGGATTTTCTGTCCACTGGAGTTGGCTTGCTGTACTTTCATGTCTCCTCTATATGGGTGAGCTACTTTTACTTTAAATTAAAACATATATTTTAAAATTCACTTTATATTTAATTTGGAATTTCCAAATGTCCAAAATGTCCATGTATTTATATTTACTGTATAAGTCAAGCTGAGGTTTTGTAACACAGTCAGACAAAATAGACTTGTAAATGCTTTTTTCTAAATGTTTTAAACAAAATTCACATTACACTTTTTCAAAACAATTATGTGTAATTGGTAAATAGATAGTTATTAACATCTGTTTGTTTGAACATTAAAAGAACAATTCAAGTGCAAAAATACTATCCAATATTTTATCTCCGGTCTGAATGTTTGTTTTCTGAAATTACTTGACATAGACTAATGTGAGACAAGACTTTGCTGCCAGCTTATTTTCTGGATGTAAGATGGAATTGTATGTGTTTTTTATTGTGTCAAGTCGAAACAATATTTTTTTCCCCCTTGAATATAAATAGGCTAGTACAGTCAAATATAAATATACAACTTGTATCTTAAGCCAACATATATACTGACTTCTAAACAACAATCTTAAAAGCTAAAGACACCTATGTATTAAAGTGTCATTCTGTGAGTTGTACACATGAAGATGAGTTTAGTCATTATGTAGGCCTAGTAGTACTACTCAGCTTGTGAATTCAATATTATGATGTCTTGCATGGCTCTGGAGGGATCTTTCTGAAGTCTGCATGCATAACTAAACCTCTAACACCCAATACGCTCTTTTATTACTCAGGAGATGAAGTTCGGTGTGATTGCACAGAGGAGAATATTCAAATTGAAGGAGGTCAGTACACATTGACCAAGCAGCTGGTGAGTGGCAGCCTGTTGATCTACTCCTGTCCGGAGGGCTACTATCCACACCCGACTCTGACCCGCGTGTGCCAGCTAAATGGCACCTGGCGACCACCACCCAAAAGATTTTTACCTCAGAAATGCAGGAGTGAGTGAAGATCTTTCTCACTTGGCCTCGGGCTGCCTGTTCTTCATGATAACTCAGATCCTTTTGTTTTGCTTTGCAGTTGTTGAATGTCCAGACCCCAACGTGCTGGAGTACGGTAACGTCTCCCCTCCTCAGGAGAAGTATTTTGTGAACAATGAGACCACGTATGAGTGCTACTCTGGATACACAATGCGAGGCTCATCCAGTCGTGTTTGCTTACCAAATGGGAAGTGGAGCGGCGCTACTCCCATCTGTAGCCGTGACTGTAAGCCCTGAATAGCAATCTTCTTTCTCCCTCTGCTTTCTTTTTCAGGGATTTGGGAAACATTCTCAAATAATGACTGTTTTGCGATATATCTTTTGTCTTTTCTGTTTCCACAGCAGAGAATAATTGTCCTGATCCTGGTATCCCAGCTGGCGCCTCAAGAACAGGGAACACATTTGGAATTGACGACACAGTGAAATACACATGCAATGGCAACCTGTTTTTGGTGGGGTCGAGTGAAAGAGTGTGTCAGGAGAACGGCCAGTGGACTGGCAAAGAGCCAGCATGCTACTGTAAGAATGATACCTACAGCTGTTGATATTCTATTGTATTTGATCAAAGCTTTGCCCTGAAAAGGTCTGCTGGCAGTTGTAATTGAAACAATGCTCAATATTTACACCTGCAAAAGGGAAGCTGCAACATTCAAAAGTAATGACTTAGGTTGTGAAGTTAATTTAGAGAGTTAATGTCACCTGAACAAAAAATTACAAAGGTTAAAACTAATGTGCAATAATGTTTGATTTTTCTTTTTATCTATAAATCCATCAGTTTTTATGTGACAGTCAGTAAGTCTCAGTCACTGAAATAGCTGAGTCAGTTTCTAGGCTAAACAGTCCAGTCAGTGGTGTGTTCAGACCTTTTTGACTGGGGTGGCCCAGTTAGAGCACGAACCTATACAGGTGTGGAATACATCGCTGCTTCTCAGGTTTAAGACTGAATGGCACCTATAAATGAAAGTCACTACTCATAAACAGTTCAAACTAGGATCCCCCATCTAACCAAGCAGAAGACCAATCATAGCTGCAGATAATGGAGTGGCAACCGGGATGGCCAATGAGATTTCAGGCGTTGCCCATGTCATGAAAAAGATAATTTGATAGCATTACATGTTAAAGTCCCTTCAGTAAACATTATAAAATGTGGTCATCTTAATGTTCAAAAACAATGTTTAACAGTCCAGTATTTACATGACATTTATTTTGAGTATAGTTCTCAAATAGTAGTAATCTCTGATTGGTGGGGTAGCAACTATTTTCTGCTCAGTCATGGGACGTACTGACCCAATTAAATGACATGCTTTTTATTAACAGTGTTGATCGTCAGTATGTTGTTTTTGCTTCTTGCAGACAGACACACCTTTGACACTCCACTGGAGGTTTCACAGGCATTTGGCAGTGCAATCAAAGACAGCCTCACCACTTTAGAGCCCATCGGTAAGTCCCTAGCAGCATATTTGTCTTTTTGTTAACCCCATCAGCATGTATAATTTTAAAAAGAAAAATGTGGTATGAATGTTTCTGCCCTGTAACAAATTCACAATTCACTGTCTTTTCCTTCCTCATACTGCTTTCTCTACAGAAAAAGTTATATATGCAAATGGTGTATAATGTATGTATGGTTATTGTTGTGGATTGTTTAGATGACACACAGGAGGGGAGAACTATCAGGATATTAAAAAATGAGACACTTAACATCTATATCGCAGTAGATATTTCTGAGAGCATCGAAGAGGACCAAGTCAATAGTGCAAAGAAAGCTGTCATAACACTTATTGACAAGGTAAGTAATAAACTGTTTTCCTCTTTATTAAAAATAAGACAAAGGGAATTTTATCCTAAATATATGTGGTCGAAGTTTAATGGTGCTTTTTTAATGGAGAGGGCGATCCCCACAGAATTGCCTCCCTTACAATATGCTGAATTTGCAAACAGTCAGCAACATTGTGCTGGGACTGGAGATGTAAGATTGTTTTTGCTGATTGTGAGCTCAGTTTAAAGGATGAACATGGGGTGAAGGGACTGCGCTTGATGGATGCTGGCAATAAATATGCTGAGTTGTTTAAAATCTTTATATATTTATGAGTTAGTGTGACTAGTCTGGACATTTTATCAATTAATTTATTTTATAAGGAATAAAATTACATGTTAAAGTTTGTATTGGGCATGGCAGAGGAAGATAAAGTAATACTTGTGCATCAGAAATATCTTGGAGATATTGAGAAACTTCAAGTACTAAAACATTTTCTCCCCAAATGCTCATAGCTCAGTGCCCGCTCATTCAGATCAAATCACTGTCTTCATTTATAGACAAAAACAAATGAAATTGTATTTAGTAGAAAAAGCAGCACATTTTATTTTGAAATAAAATCATAATGAGCTGAGTTTTAAACTAAAATGGTGATGATGGTTCATATATTTTGTCTGAAATTTTATCATTATTATTAATGTTATTTGTTTTTTTGTTTGTTTTTTTAAGCATATAAATACTTTTTTTACTGCATGACAAGAAGCCATTTAGCCACTTCGCCATCTTGCTATCCATTATATAATAATTTATAATAATTTTTATGGGTCTACAGAGGGATTAGCTATATATGTTATATTACAAATCCCTTTTGGAGTAGTGGATTTCATTATTGTAAATCATACACTTTATCGTATTTTTGGTGTGAGCTGACATATTAACCTTTTAAGATGTCTGACACACTTCTAGAAGCACATTTGACACATTGTACACATAACATGTGCAAACATATTCTCATCCCATTTGGCTGCCAGCACAACTGCCCATTAGAAGTTAATTTCATTATGAATTACCCATCATAATCATGACTGATGCTTCTTGGCGCGAGTCCCTTGGCTTGTTGTCAATGCACACTACGGGATTCTCTTTCTGCTGATAAATGAATCTATTACTCAACAAAACAACAACTATAAGCAGTTTGATACATAAGGAGGTGTTGCATTAACGATCCCAACAGTTCTACAAATATGCATGTCTGCAAAGTTGTCTAAAAACTTCATACAGTGCTAAAGATCATCCACCTTGTAATTAACTGATTTCATGTCTCCACAGATTTCATCTTTTAGCGTGACTCCAAACTATGGTGTCATCTTTTTCTCCTCTGAAGTGTTTGAAGTTGTCAAAATTCTTGATTTTTTGAATGGCAAAGTAGTACTAAACACCATAAAGGATGAAATTAACAAATTTAAAGTGAGCGGTGAGTCAAACAGATCAGAGATATTGTTACAAATACAGTTATAATACTAGTATAGTAGTAATAGTTTTACTGAGTGTGTCTGTTTTGACTCAAAGACAGAAATGCTGGAACAGATCTGAACCTCGTCTTTAGGACCTTCTTAGAGCGAATGGCTGTCATAAAGCAACTAGCTGGAGACAAGCAATTTAAGGAACATCGTCACGTCATCATCGTTTTTACAGATGGTAATTTCAGCCTCTTGGTATAATTAATGGACTTTCTTCAGCATGTTTTCACTGTTGGAAAATTATGGATGGACCTTATCATGCTGCAACTATTTGAAGGAATTGTTTGGAACACTTATTTGCTTTCTAAAGGTAAAAAAGTTATGAGTGGTGATCAAACAAACAAGAGATGTCTTAATTTGTGAGCTTCAAGATGGTGGTAGGCTTGCTTCATATTTACTATACTGATAAGATCTTCTCATCTAACTCTCAGCAAGAAAGTAAATAAACATATTTCCTAAAATGTCATTAAACTGTGTTCTTTCTTGATTTCTTGATTTATAATGTCTGCGCTTTTAAATCAGCACTAATTTAAGATGATAGTATGTAAATATTTAGCTTGTATAAAGTATCATTAATATAGAAAATATGTTTATGTAAGAGCTGAAAGCAAATGCTTAGATATCAAATGATCTGTTCTGACTGAAGCTTAAGTTGTTTGCTTTTGTTTTGATTGTGTTGTACATCATTTCAACACATTGGTTTCTTCCATTGCAGGTGCTTACAATATGGGCGGTTCACCTGCACCAACTGTGGAAAAAATAAAGAACATGGTATACATGAACCACACTGTTGAAGGGGAGACTCAATCAAGAGAAGAATATCTTGGTGAGTTTCATTTTTTATTTGCTGTGCAGATGTCTGTTGCGCTACTGATTTTCATCATTCAGACTTGTTGCTGTCACTAGGATTCTTCCTAACAGGCACACCCTATATTGTCAGTTACATTTTATTGTTATGCAGTAAGAATGTGTTTTAATTTATAATGTTATCTTGCATTCTGTTACAGATATTTATGTTTTTGCTATTGGAGCTGAAATCTTTGATGACGACCTGCAGCCCCTCACAGTAGGGGTCGGTGGCAAGCATTATTTCAGAATGAAGGACATTCAAAATTTACAACAGACCTTTGATGACATAATTGGTAAGTCATCTTTGCATTTGTGTTAATTTCTACCTTAGCATTCATCTCCACTCTCCAGTTTGACCTAAAGGAGACATATGACCATAACTACAGGCCAGAACATGATTCGTGTATTTCCTAAAGTACTTAGTGTAAGAGCAGGCAGAACTGAAAGTCGTCAAAGTACAAGGTAAACATTAAGTTAGATATATGATACAACACAATTTAAGAGTCACCACAATTTTCACAACATCACATTATAAAATGTCTTTGGTGTAGACTGAAAAATCAACAAAATAAAAATTCTACTGCCATTCAACTTTGCACAGATATTCATGGTCCACAGAGGATGAATCATACTGACTTTGATGAGCACCTGACTTAACTTCAGTGCCACCAGCAGGTTGACATTTGTGGTTCAGAGTGAATTTCTTGAAAACTACTGGATGTGTTGCCATGATATTTGATTCACACATTCATGTTCACCTCAGGTTGAATTGTAATTACTTTATTCCCTTAACGTTTTTTGCTGCATCATCAGGTAAAAATTTTTATTTGTCCAGTGTTTTGGTTTATGACCAAATACCAGTAAAACTAATTCCCAGCAGTCTCAGCTCTTTACTTTATTTTTAGTGCTGATAAGGAAATGTTAGCATGCTTACACACTAAATAAGATGGAAACGTTTTACTACATTGTAAACGTTATACTTGCTGAACATCAGTATGTTAGCATTGTCACTGTGAGCATGTTAGCTCATTTATTTCATTATGACATAAAGATGTCAAAATGTTTTGCTGAAACATTTTGCTATAGAGGTTTAATGCCCCTATTGTATGTTCCTTTGGATAAATGTGATGGGTCCAAGAAAACCTACACCCCAAATTATTATGCTATACTGATATAACCACAAATGTATTTGCATTCATAAACATGAGTAACATACAATTTGTTTTTTTATGCAGATGAAGAACAAGTTATGGGTCTGTGTGGTCTTCACAGGGACTATGACGGACACACAGCCAAAAGCAACGAAAGGGCAATGCATCCATGGGTGGCATTCATTAATGTCCAGGTGAATGTTTCAGTATTCAATTTAACTTGCAAGGCTGACTATATGGATCTCACAATGGCCAAAAATCATAACTGCTTATGCATCAGTAAAATCTGAGGAAATTATTTTCCCCCTAAGGAAAATAAGTTTGTTATTCTGAAGTATTGGACTTTGTAAGAACACAGGGCAGTCAGACCTTCATGTGGAATTTCATGATGTAAACTGTTTACTAATTACTACTTACTAAACTAATTATTTACCATAATGTTGTTGTTTTTTTTTACAGCGGTGCCAGATGTTATGTTGAGTAAATGCAAATTGCTTCTTGCTTCTGCATGTTAAATAACTACTAAACTATATTTAATATCTATTTATCATTTAAAACTTAAGGCGGAAGGAAAGTCACAAAAGAAATGCATCGGCTCTCTGGTGACCCCTCAGTTTGTCTTGACTGCTGCTCACTGCTTCACTTTTGGAAATTTACCTGAGCACGTCACAGTTGACATTGATGATGGACGGGGCAAAGGTAATAATAAATGTTAATTCTATTGTTTGATAATAAGGAGGTGTTGCATTTAATCTGGTGAAGTTATTGGCTTTGGCAATGGATATTTCTATTATGTATTGTTATATATTTCAACATGTATTTTGATTTAAAAAATGTGTGACTACATTTTTGTGCTATACACTAGTCCTGATGGCAGCAACAATAATACTAACACTCAGCTGTGTCTTTGACAGTGAAAAAAGTTCGAAATTTCATAGTACACCCAAAATACAATATTAATGGTAAAGCAAATGAAGGCGTGAAGGAGTTCTATGACTATGATGTGGCTCTCATCCAACTGACAGAATACGTTGAAATCTCCATTAACGTCAGGTGAGAAACTGTTTTTGGTCCCTTAATTTAATGTTAGATTTCCTGTCCTGGGGATTCACTGATAAAACAGTTCTTGCTATGAAGACACTCTCTTCTTCTTATACAAACACACACACACACCTGCAGACAGATTAATTCAGTGTCCTTGTGAATGTCCTTGAGAAAATGTTACATTTGCAATACTAATTACAAAAATAATTATTCAGTGTTCAAAATGATCCACTTGGAACATCACCCTCACCATGTTGTATTGTTTTTGGTATCTTGTTCAGACCTATTTGTATACCTTGCACCAAGCAGACCAATGAAGCTCTAAAACTGGGTGTCGATTCCACCTGCAAGGACCAAGGTATAGAGCAGATAAACACACTGTTTAATCAATTCCATACACATTAATTCTTAAGTTTTTGGTTCAGAAAAATCTTTCAAACAATTTAAATGCGAAAGATTGCTCTTACTAAAGCCCCATGCACACCACTTCACATGTGTAGTTACGGTTGCTGAGCTATGGTTAGACAATTGGTGTTCAGGTTTAGCAAACCATTGTCTCATCTGTTTGTTCTTTTTATTGAATAATTTCTCGTGTAAATATCTTCTGATATTCCCAGTAATGATATTGTCAGATTATGAGAGATTTAGCATTTATAAGCACTATATAAACACTTAATAAATTGTTGATGATACATACATACTGTAGGTATGTTTTAAGTGCTTAATTATGTATTAATCAACAATTATTACTTTTCCTATGAAACATCCATTACTGCTGTACACAAAAGTTAATCAGACATTGAAAACATGGTATAATACAGCTGTAATTTTATGACATGAAATATCATAACATGGGAACAAATCATACCTTTTGGTATCAGCAGGGTTTGTGTCATGAGAGTGAAGAATGAATAAGTAAACAAATACAGATTTCATAAAAAAGTAAATTAAGTAGTTATTTAATACATTCAATATTATTTTGTTAAATTTTGTTAATATATAATTAATAAAAAAACAATACTTCATACTTCTACTATACTGTTCATACTGTAATGTTATTATATATTAATAAATGTTGAAATGATATACACCTAAGAAATATTCTCAACAATAAACACTTAAAATGTCCTTATATTTACGTGTACATTACAGTGTGCTGCTTATTCAAGACCTTCTCCTAACTTGTCACATGGACGCTTGGTCAAGACCCTCTGGCCTATGCTTTTTGAACGCCTGGGTACACTTCACCTTTAGCATAATTTTTTGTATTTGTATGGCTCCACAGTCAAGTTAGCGACACTAAATATGCAAAGAACGTAATTTCAAAATACAACTAATGGCTAATGTTAACTTATGTAGCTTAACAAAAACAATGTTGTCTTTTTGCTTCACACGGGAAACAAACTACAGTGTCCCAGGTAAAAGTCCGGTTTCTGGCCCACCTGTTCACTGCAACTACCACCTTACTTTGATTTTTCTGATATTTATAATGAACAGCTGTTTTTAGAATTCATTAATGATACTACAGGGCTTCCCAGTATGTTCAACTATGACCACTGCCTCGCAAATGACATCAATGGGGACTGGACCATGCGTCCATATGGGACGACTTCGGAGTGTGAAAGGGTTGGCTAATTAATTTACACCGCTTATAAATGCTAAAGAGGGCAGAGGTTACCTGAATCTCTTCAGTCAATTGAGTGGCCATGCAGTTAAGATAAAATATCTGTAGAGTCTCACTGTATTTTTGTGTTCCTGAAATACAGAGCAGCTGCTGTTAAAGAGTCACCTTGAAAGACTCAGTTTCCTGACAAGGACGGACAAGTGGGTAAAGGAAAAAGATGCTCACGCTAAGCTTGGCGACAATGTGAGTTTCAAATTACTGAACTGAGTTGTGCCTTGCATGTGAGAGCCTGCTTTTCTTCTTTCACTCAACACCTAAAAGTCACCTTGAGCAATGTTTCATCTCCAAACTCACCAATACAGAGAGATGGATGCATCAAACATGCACTAGAGGCCCCTGGCATAACAACAAAGAATCCAAAGGATGCTGTGACTGATATCTTCCTGTGCACAGGTGGTCAGAGCCCCCAACGAGATCATGTAGCATGTCCAGGTATGTTCCCTTTATTATATACCTAAGTTATTTTCCTGCTTTGAGAAGAGCTGCTAGTTTTCCCATAAACAAGGTTATTTCACCAACACACAGTAACTTCAAACTGCAGTGCAGAGTGGCATCCATGTGTTTGTCTGATTTACACTAAGTGAGGAAAACACCAAAGAATATCTCTTTAAATGGGCAAAAAACAGGCTTTTAATTTCCAATGTCTTTAGCCTTTTGAGTGTCAGTCATCAAGTAAGACACCAAAGCTCTTGTTGTTTTGTTTGTTTTTCTGATCTTGATGTGTGATGAATAGTGGGTGTGGTCATTTTAAATGCATTTTATATACTAAAACATGAGCACAATGGTGCAGATCAGTAGCTGAGGCCCATTATTTTGGGTGTGACCGTGTGTGTGTGTGTGTGTGTGTGTGTGTGTGTGTGTGTGTGTATTTGTTGGGACAGGTGACTCTGGAGGTGCAGTGTACAGGAACTATGAGCAACGCACAATTCAGGTAAATAGCTGTTCTTTTCTGTGTCTTATATCACCCATGTGTGTCACCTGGTGGCAAATGTAATGGAAAATAAAACTCAAGTGAAATAAATGTGATGTAATTTTATCACGGTAAGTTCTTGTTGAATGTGTAAAGTAACTACCAATTCCTTTCACAGGTTGCATTGGTCAGCTGGGGAACCAAGGATCTGTGCAAGACTCGTGGTAATATGGCGGAGTCAGATGACACCTCCAGAGATTTCCATATTAATCTTTTCAGAGTTGTCCCTTTTCTCAAACGTTACCTTGGAAATGGCACCCTTGATTATGAACCACTTCCATTTTTGGAGAGTTGAATGCATTTACATACCGTAATTTGTTTTGCTGTTTCAATTATATGACTGTGTATACCGTATGTTTAAAAGCATTTGATGCACTGATGATTTAATTAATTCAATCACTCGTTCAGTTTTTGTCAGACTATAAGTTCATAATGACAAAGATGCAATTTTCAGATGGCATGTTCTCATCAAAAGCATACATACTGTACATACACATGTTCACAGAAAAATAGTATAATTTTGCATAATAAGCTCATCTGTATCAACCATTCTCAAAATGTGCAATTACAGTCATGCTAGTCTATACTTTATCTAATGCACATACATTTATTCTTCATTTATTCAGCAGTAACCTGTGTCTTAATGTTTTTGAAGAGAAGCTAATCCAAATCGTATACACTCTGAATCAGGGTTAGCAACATGACAGTAGTATATGTGCTTGCTGACTGTTACGCCATTGTGGCAACTGTTTCTAAACAATTAAAACGGCTTAATGGTAATATTGAGAATTTAAATAATTGTTTTAATCATTGTGATAATTAGTGGTGGAAGAAGCATTCAGATCTTTACTACAGTAAAGGTATCAATGCCACACTGTGAAAATACTTCACCGTGGTTGCTTTATCAATACTGATGCATTAATGTGTTGCATTTTACTGCTGTAGTTGTTTAAGGTTGAGCTAGTTTTAACTACTTTATCTACTGTTTGGTAGTTTAATCTACAGCTGTTAAAATGGGATATAGTCTAAGACTGCGGGCCTCCCCTCAGACAAAGCTTGGGAAACGGGACCCCCCACTACATCTTTAATTTACTTGGAAAGTTTTGCTCAATTCCAGGATGCCTGTGGGATCACGATTATATTATTTTATCCCATAGACACTTGACATTTGAGCCAAAATAGTGTAATATTGCTGTTTGACATAACTTCTGACTATACCAAATAGTTTAAAAAAGGCATTCATTAGTAATTAACAGTTTCTAAAAACTACTGTATCTCTGAACTCTCACACATTTAGGCTATTCTATGTGATCTCCTTTTGATAACTAATGTAATAACTAATGTAATATTGTTTCACTTCCATTCACTGAGCCTACCCTGAAACTGTTTTGAGCCCCCATGGGGAGGTCCACCTCACACTTTGAAAACCCCTGTTCTATACGATCATCATATGTTTATAGCATTGCAGTCTTCTGAGAACCACGTATCTCTAAAAAGACTAAAACTGATGATACACAGAGCAACTTTTAGAGCAATCGTGCAGGGCAACGTTGGCGTCAATGGTAATGAGTAAAGATTACTACCGTAATCCCCTTCCCCCACCACTTCGCCACCCGAGCCCCCCGCCGCTATCCGTTCAAAACATAGTTGGACTTGCCACTAGCAAGATTGCCCAGCAACATAGCTCAAAAAGTTGGCCTGTGTATCATCAGCTTTAGACTTTATAAACAGACCTGTTTTCAGCTTCATGATGAAGCATTTTCCAGCTAATCTAAGGAGCATTTTAAAATATTTTACGTAGCTTAAGAAGAATGTGTTGTTTCCTGTTTATCAGACACAATTCTATTTCCAAATCACAATAGGCTATTTGGAGATACATAGTTTTCACTGGATAGGAAGGGTATGGAAAATTGAAATCTCAAAAATAACTAGTAACAAAGCTGCATAAAATACTCAACTAAACTACAAGTATCACTAATTTCTGCTTAAGTACAACACTTTAGTGTACGTAGTTACGTTTCACCACTGGTGGTATTTGTCAGGTAATAAATTCACTGGTTCAATCAAAACAGCCATTCATATCATTCTGTTTTATCGATAAACAGTCCCTTCATAGATTTTCCAAAAACAAAATAATGCTATATTATGATATACAGTATATAAATAATGTAATATGAAATTGTCCATACTGTGATATTGATTTTATCCATATTGCCCCTATCTTGGACTATCATAGCAAACCAAACAACTGTTACTGCTTTGTAACAGATTTAGGGTTTCATACTGAACAAGTCACTCACAGGTCACAACTTAACCAAACAAAAAAAAACAAGACATCAGCTCCTGTAAATGACAACCAGCTACGTCTCAATTCTCACATGAATTGTTACAAGTATGGAGAAGTCAATGAGAAAATCTGCAGTCCTGAGTGGTGAGTGCAGTGTGGTGTCCACTGCTGGCTTTATTTATATACAAGTGAAGATATTTCCATACAACTCTGAATGTGTGAGGTAAGGACTAACATCTATAAAGTTTGTTTATTATATTAATACAATAATGCAGACATAGCTATCCTGCAAGTTGCAATTGCTCATTGTATCTCTGCAGGAATGAAATAAGGACCCTTTATTTAGAAAATAAAGTGTTGTAATGCTTTACATGACACACTGTTAAAACATTCACAATTGCAGGTTATGCAAGTTACTTCTCTCAGGCCTCTTCCAACAGCGCTTAAAAAAGGAATGACTAAAAGAATTACTACAGCACTTAAAAGGTTTCATCAAAACTCTTTTATGGATCAGCGCTGCTGATGGAGCCGTCCAGCTCCCCCTCAGGTCAGTGACTCAGGGCCCATTTCCAGCTCTCTGTGCAGGCCAGCGCAATGCGGGCACTGAGTCTGGTAGCGTGCCAACTCAGATCATTCAAATTGAATTTAATAGAAAGTTAAGTTCTTTTCTTTTCGGTAAGTAATTACCTTTTTCCTTTCTCTTTCTGGCTTTGACATGGAAATGAACTGAGTTTGTTATTCATTGTTGTGTCTTTACATCCCACAAACAAACCAGACCATTGCATTACAAATGATTTGTTGTGGTCAGAGCAAGTTTATGGCTTCAATTCATGTTATTTTTTTACGGTCTAACTATGATCTGTTGACCATTATGCTGTCAGGCACCGCTTTAGTGTAAATTTACATTTAACAATTCTCATCACTAATGCATACTGGTTAGATGGCCAAACATCAAAGAACTGTAGTGAATTTTCAACATCAATGTTAGGTTTCTCTAACATGGTGAAACGCCTACCTTGTGTGGTGTGTTGGGTCAGTGATGTACTGGTTTCCCATGGGAACATTCATCTGGTTTCCCTTTAACTAATTGGGAGAGAGGGATGAAAGGTGGAGGCAGAGTCGGAGGAAGACAGACTGTGTGAGAGGCGGGACGAATGGAAGAGGCTTAATTGAATGAAACCCTCTCTGGGTTTCAGATGCCATAAACAAGGAGGAAATTTAAAACGAGGACCATTCCTTATTGAATCCCTCTAGAGGACTCGATTACCTCTCTCTCTTTTATTTTTCAGAGCATCACCTGCTAACACCAACATCCCCTACCCCACCTTCAATTTAAACAAAGCTGAAACCCTTTGACTGAAATCAATCTGTTACAGCTAAACTGATTAGCAGTGTTTCGAAAGAGCAGCATGTATGCAGACAGTGTATTCAGGGAAGCCTCACCCCCCACCCTCACTCCCTATTCAATGCTAGCACACACAGCATATTCCTGATGAAGCATCCTGCTGTTTAAACTCTGGCTGATCTGTCTCTCTGTGAGCCCTAAATCAACCTTATGGGCCATTTTAGAAATTACTACCATTAAGAACTGCATACATACACTTTCCCCCCATTTGTCCTCAGAAAAGCGGGTCATGCTCACATGCATCCATGGCTTCTGCTGATCTGACGCTTTAATATGATATTATATAGATTGAAATCTCCCTTGTTACTAAACAGTAACACCAAATATTCATCGTAATGTGTGAGCTGAGTTTCTAAAATTAAATTAAACCTGTCAACAAAGTCTATTTTCTATGTGTATTGGTATTTACCAATATAAAACGACAAATTTTGGCAAATAGGCTTATCCGCTTTTTTTACTGAGAGTTGATGAGAAGACTTAGTGGCGTTAGTCATGTCATATCTGTATGGTGAATATGAAGCTACTATGAGCAGCCAGTTAGCTTAGCTTAGCACAAGGACTGGAAACAGATGGAAACAGATTGCCTGGCTCTGTCCAAAGTAAAAAAAATCCACCTACCAGTATTTATGATGCTCACTAATAAACATGTTGAATGTCCTTTGTTTTGTTTTTTTTGCTTTTAGATCAAACCTAAATTAGTGAGATTTAGAAGTGCTGGTATGTAGATTTTGTTAACTTTGGACAGAGCCAGGCTAGCTGTTTCTTGCTAGCGAACATCCGGGAGTCTCCGCTGTTTGCCTTCCTTTAATGATAATGTGGACGGTTTACAATAGAGTTATTATAAATGTTTAAGTTAAAGGAATAGTTATACATTTTGGGAAATTCATTGCTTTCTTGCAGTTGGGCTAGATGAAAGGTACATTAACTCTCGTGTTCTTTATGGAAGGTGCTTCCATAAACACAGATTATTTTAGTTCAATGATTGGGATTAGCAAGAAACAGCTAGCCATATTCTGTCCAAAGCATTGGCATGTTCAGACTTTTTTTCACTGACTTATGCTGGGGCAGCAAGTAGGTCCTACTTTTACGCGCACATATATACATCAGACACATCACACATCTACTTTAATTACTAACATTACAGTATCTTACAGTTTCCTCAGTACAAAAATGCATGTGAAATATTTATCAATTTGCACCCTGTTTGAAATGGTTCATCATCAACATGTTGACTCATTTGACACATTAATCTATGCAACTGTACAAATTAATTTCAGACCTATTGATGTTTAAAGGCCCTGAAAACCTTTTTTATCATCATCCTATTATTCAGAGTGATGGAGTCGTACATGAACACAAAATGTATTTGTCAGAAATGCAACGATTTTGGTTAATTTACAAGACAGATATTTGTGTTCTTGTCTTCGCTCTTTTCACTGGAATGAAGTGGGCAGAGTTCGATTGGAAAACTTTGAGGTCATGTATTTCCATGCACCAATTAAGATTTACAACATTTGAATCCAAAAGTGATGGCAGTTGTGAGGTTGTTTGCTTTGTTTTGCCAGGCCACTGTCAGTCAAATGTGATCAAACCCTAACCCAGACAGTCCTGATGAATCAGATTAGCTGTGTTGTGTCTGCTGTGACTGATGAGAATGTTTATTTCTGAACTTTAATTGTCTTAAATATTGTATGTTGCAGAGTACTATTTCAGATTTGGAACCAGGTTTTCAGAGGCTCTAATAATACAGGAAAGAAAAAGTATACACTGTGTGCTGCCTCATGGAGATGTCAGGTGTGTTGGATATCTGTCTTGCTTTGTACTGAAACGCAATAAAGGAAGAACACACAATACACCTTGAAGATGGCCCTGAGAGAAATATTTTAAAATATCCCTGATTGAGTTAGAGGAGAAAATTTTCATGTAACACTTTTGTAATGATAATACCTAAAGCTTAAGTAATAAAGGAAGGAGTGAAATCTGCCTCTTGTCAGCGTTTACGATGAGAAGCACTTGCATGATTAGATGTCTTGCGATCGATGCAGCCTCTTCCCAATCATTAAGACTGCTCTTAACAGATTACAGACCCCTCCCAAACACGCACAGTCTTTTCTCCTCCTCTTCCTGCCCCTCCTTCTGTCTCACACACTCCCTCTATCAGCAGAAAGGACAGGAGATTTGCCTCTAAAGCACTTCTTTAGCTCTCTCTTTGAATTTCAACCTTGACAGAGCATTTTCTTCCACCTGACGCTTCAGCTCACCTCTTACGGTTCAAGTAGAGTTGATCTGGTTTCACCTTAGATCTACTGACGAGCAGACAGTAGAATGATAAAGACTAAACAAAAATATAAGAGGGGGTGGTGAACAGACTACAACCGACAAAGATGGACCTGCTAACAATCTTCTGTCACCTCCTGGTTTTATGTTTCGATCCGTCTGCAGCCACAAGCCTCATTACAGGTAAGCTGCACCCAAAAACACAACAAAGCACAAAGACATAAACTCATGATTCAGTTGTGGATCTGTCTTTGGTTTCCACATGGCCTGCCTTCCTGACACTATGCTGGATGTTTGGCTCTTGAAGCGGATATATTTGAAGCCAGAGGTAAGCAATCACGCTCCTTCTTTTTAAGGCTTCTACAGCTAACTCTGTTTCTGTATTTGTGGGTTGAGACTACTATGGGAGAGTATTTAGCCGATGCTTGTGATATGTCAGGGTTGTGATATCTGGCATGTGTAATTATGTATGTATGCATGGGTGCAGGTCAACGTGTGTGCAAGGCAGGGAAAGGGAAGCCGTGTTACAAGCTGGCCTATTTCTCCGAGCTCCGGCGGAGGCTGAACTTCGTAGAGGCAGAACTCGCCTGTAGACGGGACGGAGGGCAACTTCTGAGCGTGGAGTCGGCGTCCGAGCAGAAGGTCATAGAGCAGCTCATCACAGACCTCCGTCCAACTGATGGAGACTTCTGGATAGGTCTCCGCCGTAACCATGGCGACGAGAACAGCAGCTCAGACTGCTCCTCGCAGTACTACTGGCTGGACGGCAGCAAGTCTACATTTAGGTGGGTGGCTATCTAGAGGGTGAAAGGGTCAAAAGAGCAATGGAGGGCAATATCAAATGTTGGATGAGGCATGTGTGCTGAAGACAGATGTTTCCTCGTTTGTGCACCCCATCGAAAGCTGGATATTGTTTAAAATTCTTTGAGTTTCAGTGCCAAATATTTTTTTTTAATCTATAAAACCTTTTTGTCAAGAAAAAGTTTTCAAATTATAAATGTTGTCTTTGGCACTATCAATCCTGAACTTTTTAGGCATTTACTGATATTGATTTTGAAAATGTTTTTAAAATATTTTTCAAACTTAAGATATATTTTTAAAAGGATCCCTTAATTTTTTTGTCAAAAATAATAGTAATGGATACACTGTTTCTTAATGAACTCTCTGAACTGCAATTTCTCATTACTAATCGGCCAACAAATGCAGATGCAGAAACTGCTTTCGATACACAGTGCTAAAGACACTTTTCAGATGTACCAAAAAAAGTATTGTTTTTTGTTACTTTTTCATATAGGGATTTTAAGTTTTATAAAGATTTTTGTTAAAGCATGTATTTGATTTTGTACACATGCTTTGTGTGTGTTTGTTGTAGAAACTGGCACTGGGATGAGCCATCATGCGGCTACGAGGTGTGTGTGGTGATGTATCACCAACCGTCCGCTCCTCCTGGTCAGGGGGGGCTCTACATGTTCAAGTGGAATGACGATAATTGCGAAACCAAAAACAATTTCATCTGCAAATACACTGCAGGTCCAGCTGACACAGTATTTCAACATTCTTTAACTTTGAAAATACTTTTAACATTGTTGACCGTGATTATTTTTCTCCACAGAGGAGCCACTGGACCCTTCCCCTTCTCCACACCCCACTACAGCAACAAGTAAAATGTGCTCATAGATGACATCACAGCATATGATTTAGCAGACATTTTGACAGTCACTAAATCTGCCACTCTCTGTCTCTTTTAGCTCTGAATTTGGTTTACATCATCATTCCCACCATTCCCCTGATACTGCTGTTACTGACAGTGACCGGAGTTTGCTGCTTCAAACTGCTTACCAGACGGTGAGGGTCCAAAACTACGGACGCTGAGAACCGCTGTGCTTGCAATTATTTGTTGTTATCTCGAGATAACAAAGCTTGTTTTCTTGTGATGACGGGTTATCTCATTATGTCGAGAAAACAAAAGGCTGATTTCTCCAGATAACAGCATTATTACAGATCTCTAGTGCAATTAACAGTGTTGGGCAAGTTACTCAGAAATTGTAATAAGTTACTACTGAAAAAAGTAATAATATTACTTTTCTTATTACTAGGTGATAAAAGTAACTAGTTATGTACTCGTTACTTTACTATATTACTTTTACTACCACCCACCCCCTCCCCAAAACAAAGCAGTCTGTCCCGACTTTTTAACAAATATCTTATTCATAACAGCAGCAAGGAGTATGGTTTTTACAAAACAGATAACGTTTCTTAATGCCACCAGATGAAATAAAAAAAATAAAGCAAGTACATTTTAACTATTGTTTTTCTGCACATGAATTATAAGAGCAGTATTCAGTACTTTTACAGAAGTTATATTGCTTAACGCCATTCTCTCCAGTCCGAGCATCACTTGCAGTAGTGGCAGGAGATTCTTTCTGTAAGTTTCACGTTGCTGTGCTGCTTTAGCAGATGCTTCAACAAATTAAATGTAGAATTGTTTGCGGTTGAAAGCTTTTTGCTGGTCGCACAAAGTTTATAACAGACGACAATGTTCTTTGAATCTTAGACTTTGACACAATAGTGGCAGTAGCTACTTACAGCTGTGGAAAGAACGCCTCTCTCCCTCGTTCTCCATTCTTCCTTTAGCTTTTGACTAACAGCTGACTTAATCAACATAAGGTCCGGTGCCGCTGACCTGCAGCACGGTCACGCATTTACGTCAAAGATGGTGTGTTCAGTAACGCTGTAATACAGTAATGCAGCGTTACTTGGATTAGTAAGTAATAATATTACTGTTTCGGATAAAGTAATCTCTTACACTACTAGTTACTGGGAAAAGTAATATTACACTGGCTATTAAGTACTGGTGTGCGCCTATGATGTGCACAGTTAAATTGTGGCTTGTTTTGAAGGTTATGTAACCACGTTCTCATGTAGCAAGTTTACATATATTAGTCAACTATACCTGACCACAGAATCAAATGTTAAGACTAACTTTATGAATAGTTTCCTCCTGTTCAGTCAGTCAAACATCTAGCTAAGTAGTATTAGGGGACACCATGGAAGTAATTAGCGTGGCATTAAGCAACAAAGAGTTTTGAATGATTTAATTTACTCACTTGTGCTGAGCAAATGAAGCAGCACTTGAAACATCCATTCTGAAGCAAAGCTGCAGTGCATGCAGAGGTCAAGCTCATCTAATTGGCTAGGCTATGAACACATAGCTAAGCAAGCTTTCATTTCCTGTTGGCACTATGGATGCAGCACAAGCTGGGCAGGTTTAACAGGCTGGGTTTGTATGACTAAACGCAGCGGAGGAGATCAACAGACAGAACATGTCACTTAGGTCGGTTTGCTGTTTACTGTTTGCTTTTCGTGATGGTATATAGAACTTTCGGGCATGGAAACAACCTTTTGTTTTCTTGTGATGAGGGTTGATATAAAAACCCAGGACTATCTATTAGCTTTTTGGCATTATTTTCATTCCATACAAAACCATAATATAACACATAGTGTGTCTTTAATTGGTAAACTTAAAGGATCCATTTGTTTTTATTCTATATGCCAACAAATCCCATGACAGGAGGAAAAGTGCATTTGCTGGGGACTATTTTCAACTATGGATTAAAACATGATAGTCAGAAGGACAGTGTACCATAAAAGTTCAATTAAAAGCATGATCTCAATTAGATGCCTGGTGTGTTTTTTTACAGCAGATCTTTGGATATATAAAATCCCTTGTAGCCCACCAGGTCACCTGCTTAAGCTAGTTTTAAGCTGCTTAGATCGTGCATACAAATGCTTCAGCTTTTGTCAGTATTAACATGTTACACACTATTAGATTGGTTAGATTCTCCACAGTTCAATCATTTAGTTCATTTTATGGAAACAATGAGCACCAAAGTGTTAATCATTCAGATTTGCCGGCATGGTAAAGGAATAAAAGGCCTGTCCCATAAAGACGCCTGTCGTAAATATAGGTAGGGTGAGGTCAGTGATTTAAGCAAATAAAAGCCCAGGCTATTAACTTAAGTTTTACAGTTTGTGGATTTGTTTTACAATAAACTACAGCGCCCACGTTCATATTAATGAAGGAACATCTCACCCAGTGCAATGCTGTGGGTCCTCAATGTGTTTTTGGATAACAATAAAGGTCTATGGCTCAGAGGAATAAACCTTACTAGGGTTTCACTGCTTTGGCAATACTTGTTAGTAGGATCAGTTCACTAAGACACTGATATTTTTTAGTTCAAGTTCAAGTTCAATTAACACCTCTGTTTCATTAAAGAATTTTGGCATTCAGTCCAGGAAAACTGTTGTACAGTGAAGTCTGGTGCAGGTTTTGTTCTATGTTAATGTTTGAGGTGGTTGTTATTTATGCTTCTCTGTGTGCGAGACAGAAGGAGGAAACAGCAGAAATCAGAAGTATGCCAGACAGACCCGGGCGTCAGCTCCAGCACTCCAACTGATGTATACAACGTTATTCGCTCCCAGAAGGATGATGACCTGGTTTCAACTCGCCCGCACACCAAAATCACCTCCTTTTTATGCTCCTCTCCTGACACACCGACAGGGGACTATGACAACCTGGGGGGTCGGGACACCGAAAGCGGCTTTGTCACACTTGCCAGCACGGAGAGCGGCTTCCTCAACTTTGACCTCAATGACCTCAGCCTTGGGCGTCGTGGCACCCGAGACTTCTATGACACCAGCTTGGGCCGCTCAGGAAAGAGGGACTTGAACGACAGTAGTCTGGGTTGCACTGGGCATAGAGAGTTTAATGACAGGAGTCTAGGTCGTCGTACAACAAAGAGTGAGCATTACGGCAGCAGTTTGTACGGAGACCACGGATTGTATGATGGTAGTATCAGAGGAGGGAGTGACCTCTATGATCCCAAACTGAGGCCTGGAGGTCACACAGTAAAGGCTGACCTCTATCAGACATACATCACCAACGGCAAGGAGGACACTTACCAAACCAGCCTCGGAACCTATGGAAACCGGAAATCCTACCAAGCAAATCTGGATTGCTACCGAAATGGCCTGAATCTTGATGGCGGAAGGAGATACTTCAATGAACAAGAATGGATAAACAGAGAAAACTACTGATCCCCTAAACAGCTCGTTTATTGTGTGTACAGCAGTATACGTGCGATTGTGGACGAGAGAATGGCATGTTTGTACAGTATGTTTTTGAAGACTATTAGGGGACTAAAATCAGATGAGGACATGAGGACAAAGCCAAAATATATTTGGTCAATTACCCCACAATTCAAAAGAATTTGTTTAGGAATATGGATTTAGAATTAAAGAATCAGTTTACCCAAATTACAATTTAAAAAAAAAATCTCACTTTCTTGTGCTCACAGCATTGGAAACTTACATTTAAATAACACTGGCCACACTACTGTTTTTTTAAACATATTTATTCACCAAATCAAAGTCCATTCACCTTAATTATATTGGTATTATGGTAGAAATTTCTAAACTGGGACAAATAAAATCCAGTTTGCATAGACACTGCAGGCAAGTGAGGAAAAAATATTTTTATAATCTGGGTGAACGGACACTTTTAAGGAGTTTTGAGATTAAATATTAAAGGGGAACTCCACCCCTGTTTACAGGTCTTGGGAGTACACCTGCATTTGTGAATAATAGTTACATAAAGCCTTTTGTGGCTCCAGAGGGAGCTGTGTGAAATCTGATACATTGGCTCAAGTGATGTCACTTGAGTCAGCGTTGTTTTGGGTCAAAGACTACAAGTTTGAAAATGGAAAAAATAAACATGGATGTGGAGTTAGACAGAAGTGAGCTTACCAAACCTCTGTAACCCGCTCCTGGAGGCTACATTAGCGCTATTAGCATGACACACCCGAATCACAGACCAGTTTTTGACAAGAAAGAAGAACAAATGGAATAAAAAAAAGATATCTTCTTCTGATCCTTTTTTTTAAACTCCATCGAGAGTCTGACCATGTTAGTGTGCAAAGCTAAATCTGTGGAGTCTTCTTTTAACACAAGGCCACTCTACATTACCAGGCCCCAAGACTAGATCATTTCTCTGGACCTTTCTATTCCCCAGTCATTTCAGTTGATGCTTAATCTATTTTAACCATGTTTTCTTTTAGACAATTACCACAAACAAACACAGGAAACCTGGGGGCCTTCAGAGGCAGAGGATACTCCATCTTTGGGTAGAAGACGCCCAGTCAAAAAGCCAAGTTAAAGCTCAAACTGACATATAACAGGAACTCACCATGAGGTGGGCCAGATTGTTTTTGTCACGTCCACGTCCACTTTTCCTCCACACAGTGCGATATCATCAAAATTGACAGACTCCAAACAATAATAACCTCCCAGAAATGCATGAAGTGCCTCAGATGCGACTGAGTGACAGCGACTCACAGTAAAGGTCTGTGTGTAGCAGCCTGTTTGCATGTCCCTGTCATGCTGCCCTTGCTTGGTAGGATAACTAGTTAGGTCTTGGTGTGCCTGTAAATATTGTTTAATCACACCCAGGGCTACCTGATATAAACAGGCTACCTCAAACAGATTAAGACAATAAACTAATACTGCTTGAGGGAGCCAAGGCTGGATATTTTGTGTACTGCAAGTGTGTGTGACGTGGCCTTAAATTGTGAGATGTCCATAACTTGAATAGAATTTCATTGACACACTTTCCCCCTTATTTATTAATGGCTTTCCATCTCCTACTGAGTAAATCAAAGACAGCCAATGCTAGCGAGTGAAAAGGTAGCTCATATCTTGAATTCAGCTCGAGTGCCTGCAGCCTGACCACAGCAATGGCATGATATCGAAGAGAATGATAAAATATAGCATCATTATTATTTATTCAGAATGTATAATGCCTTGACTCCTGCTCTCCTGTAAGTGAGAACGGTTTGTATGTTTGTTACTTAAGGAAATCTTCAAATAAAATGAGATTAGAATTGAATCTGTCTGCTTGCGGTGCAGTGATTTTACTGTCCCAATAAAAAAACCCAGGAAGGTTGTATTCGCAGTAAATCATGTTTTTATTAACATTCAAAGTTAAATTAATAACGCACCATCGCTTTCATTCATCTCCACCACTCACACCCAACAGCGCACACAATAGGATACTGTTCCAAGAGCAGACAAGCAAACACTACAAGATTTATTACATTAATTATTCTGAAAATAATCTTCCCTACAGGCCACATGTTCACACATTTTCTGAATTTATGAAAAGAAACACATACATTTGTGTGTAATGGCCTGTTCTGGGCTAAATACATGTAAAATCTTGTAGTGTGCATCCATTGTAGGACATTCATTTACACACAAACACAAACTGGGATAAAATGTTTGATATACAGGTCCAGCTGATACCTGCCAAGCACGCCTGCAGACATAATGTCCTTAAAGGGTCTGATTTCTTCAAATGCTTCATGGCACAAATACTTCACGCATGCACACATGTCCAACAATCACGACCACACACACAAAGTCACAAATGCCAGTTGTTCTGAGGGGAAGTGACTGATTTCTGATGTTAGGATTTTGTGCTTGGGGTTAATGTTCAAGATCAACCATGGGTCCGCTTTCGAGGCTGCTTTTGCCGCCGTGGTTTCAAGATGACGTAGCGGCTGTAGATGGTGTGATGGTCTGATATAAACGGGATGTAGAACGCTCTGAAGAGAGGAGATGACCTGAAAGAGAAAGATGTTTAATTACAAATCTGCATCAGTCTATCAGTCTTTGTATGCAGGAAAAATTAATTAAGTATTTTTTAAGCTACAATACATTAGGTTTTTAAGATTTTTTTAAGATTTAAAATTTTATGATCATCAGAAGAGTTGGAAGCCATTTATTTATCTGTGTAAATTGCACTTGGGAAAACACCTTGATGCTTGAAGGAAAGGCTTATAGGCGATGACGTTCCACTCTTCTTTGCTGGCTGAATAACGTGGCTCAAGTGGCGTCTCTTCATCTGTGTCCAGGTCTACTACGTAGTGGCAGTACCGTAAATCCACCTGCCCAGAGAAGAAATTTTAAAATTAAAATGCCACTACTATAGCTACACGTGTCCATGTGCCAGCAAACATGCACCTGTGTCTGAGGCACTCACATATCTGGTTGGCTCCTCCAGGTTCTGGTCGTTCATGTTAGCAGGGATGATCTGTGTGGCCAGAGGATCAGAGGCGTATGGCTGAGGCAGCTGCCCTTTAAATTCAGACTGAATGAAGTGCAGTTGCCAGCTGGAGATTAGGAAGAGAAACTGAATCAGCACACAGTCACACCTGGAAAATGCACTTTCCAAACTAGACATTGAAGACCTGTGTTGGACTCCTGGATACTGACTTGTGCGGTAGAAGGAAGCTGCTTGGGAAGCGGTACCACTCTTTGCCCACACACACACTCACAAGTCTGCCTTCAGGGACTGAGTGGAGAGTTGGATCCTTGGCGATGCGATGGAACTCTGGGTACAGGTCCAGAGGGGCGTGGTAGCCTGTAGACAGAGAAATAAATCTCATTTCATCCATCTTGAACTGTTGTTTTTTGTTGTCTGGGGCTTAGGAGATCAGTGTTTCTGTGTACACACACCCCTGAAGAGGGCGACAGAGCGTGACAGTGACAGCACTGCGAAGACCACTACTCCGCTCAGAGCCAACCAGTTGGAGGAGATAGTGTAGTGCTCCAGTCTGTAGCGCTGGAACAGGAAGTGGTAGCATTTCTGCAAGAAATAAAATCAATCTGTAAAAACTAATTTCACATGCATATTTCGTGACTTAGGGTGCTTTCACACCTGTAGTTTGGTTCATTTGGTCCAGTCCAAGTGAAAAAAATGATAACATTGGTAGTTCACAGAGCTCACAAAGTAATAATTTATTATAAACATGATTAGTAATTTTAGACCGCATTGCCCATCTATGTGGTCGATCTGCGGTATGAATAATAACGTAAAAACAGGACATGTAATACAGTAATAATTTGGGGCTTATTAGCCAATAGTATACTGTGGTATCGCTGTCTCAAATGTTTTATGAACTAACAGGGTAAACAGAGTAGGCCTACTACTGGCCCTTCTTTTTTAACAGCTTTTACCCATCAATAAAGGAAAATACCTACCTGTGCTGACACGTATACGCTACCAAATGATTTTCATAAACATAGCCTACACATGGCTTATACAGATCAGTTATAAGATTGCTGAACACATGTCTTGGCCAGCAGATGGATTTATTAGTGGTTCAGCTTTGGAAATAATGCTCAGATCACATCTCTGCTGTGGTTGGCCCGTTTGCTTTCATACCACAAGCAAACCCCGCAGAGTTTGTTTGTTTGGTCCGCTTTTGGTGCACACAAGAGTGCGATTGCTGCATTCACACCTGCCCAAACAAACTACACCAAGGGGGAAAACAAACTCTAGTGCAATTCAACCAAACTAAATGAGGCAGGTGTGAAAGAACCCTTAAAAAGGGTAAAAAAACTAACACAGAGTACAGTTTTGCTAACAAAGCCAAAACTTGAAAATGGCAACACACACCTGTAGAGAAGAGAGGGCTACAGCTCCACTGAGGCAGATAAGAGGGTAGATGGGAAAGAGAAAACGCTCTTCTTTATGGGGTCTGGTGAAGAAAACCAACATCCACAGATACATGGGAGACAGAGTCAGCCAGTATGGACGGCCCAGGTTCTGCACTGCAGAAAACACGTGTGCACAAGCATATGAAACCACAAGAGTAGCTGCTTTAGAAGTTAACATCGCAGCAAAAATGATTTCATTACATACATTACATATCAGCATTCAGTCTGTCCTAAAAAACAGGAGAGCACGTCAATGAGGTGAAAGAGTGAGACATTACCGCCACTATACGACAAACACTCTTTCCTTCCCTCAAAAACTGCAAGCAATGACAACATTTAGTCATTTTGTAGAGATGCATCAACTGCAATTTTCTTGATTCTGACTTTTTTTAATGGCCTGACCCGTAAATTTTCTTTAATGGAAAATTCTCACTTTCTTGCTTTATTAGGATCCCCATTAACACCAACATAAGCACCGACTATTCTTCCTGGGGTCCATAATGACAATGTAACTGTAGTGGTGGGGGATATATTTATATTTTAATTTAAAAATATTTGAACTAATACATTGCCCACTTTCAGGTAGGTTATTTCTCATTTAAAAATTTTATTTCTACTTAATTTTCCACCTTATTTCAGTGTTTACCCACAAACTGCTTTAAACTGCTCACCTTGTTTTTCCCTTCATCTACACCTGTCTCTCTCTCTCTGTTTGCATCTGCTCTGTTGACTTTATTCGTCAGCAGAATGTTTTATAAAGTTGTGGAAGCGTTGTGGATTTTCACAGCAGCAGTTGAGCCGTGTGGGAGGCTGGTGTTAATGGTGTAGCCTATTTAAACAATTGAGACTGTGTGGTACCGAATGACCTTAGCACCAACAGGTATGTTCACGGTTGCTTTACCTGGTCCCTGCTTGCAAAATATCCACTGTGGCCGCGTCCTCTTACGTAATACCAGATAACGTCTCTCTCTCTCTCTCTCTGCCAAATATACTTTGGCGACCATCAATAAACCTGGGCGGTTCGTCCCAAGTAAAGTCTGTGTGGGAAACAAGGCTTATTTTGGCCTATTTTGACGAATGTTGTTTCTTCTTAACTCATGGTGAAGAACTTCTACCCTAACGACATGTTTTAGCACATGGTACTCTGCTTGTGTGGCTGTGATAATAGTTGTTTACCGACGTGAAATAGTGTGCAGCGCAGCACGGGTGTAAATGTGACTGGTACAGGATCATATATGTGACACCGATATGCCCCGGTCACAGATCACAGCTGATTAAGCCGAAACCGTCTGATTCCGGTCGCTAGCCAATCGATCGGAATCAGACGGAATCGGAAAAACATGGTCAGTCCTCACCATTGAACCTGTGTAACAGTGTCTCCATGAGAGTAGTCAATGGCAGAGAAAACAGTGCCAGAGCAAACACCAGGTTGAAGTTCAGGATTCCATTTACAAAGTAGAAATACCACGGCTCTGTACCTGAAAATCAAACAACACAAAACAGCTCATGTACAGACCATCACAATAAAAACATAACTCTAAAGGTTGAAAATCCACAGATGTCAAATAAATTGGAATACCAGATGATGGTGGATACTCAAGCCCAAAGGTCTTACATATATTGTTTTACTGTGGGTAAAGCCTATTTCTGCCAAAGTAATGGAGACAAATACAATCTATTGGCACCACTTTTAGAGGGTTTGATATGATGATGTTAATGATGGTGTGCCCTCTAGTGTCCAATAAAAATAGTGCAGCTTTATTAAAATGTTCATGTTTTCATTCAAGATCTATTTGCTCCATTCTGTCTTTAAAATAATAGACAATCAGTCTAACAATCACTATGATAAATTCCCCAAACATGTACGTATATTACCGTACAGATCGGGTCCATGTGGTGTGAAGACATTATACAGTAGAATATTGAGTGGAGCAATGACCAGTTTGCCATAAAAGAAAGAGTCCACTGCCACTAGGGGTACCTGAGAAAGACACACAGGATAAACAGAGCGGAGAGTGAATGGACCCATTGCTCGTAAACATTTACTATTACTGTCACCTAATTATTATTAATGATTAACTCTGTGTACACACTGCAGCTTTGAAACTGTAAAGAAACTCATCTACATGCACTGCTGTCCTGTAATATGTAAATTTAAAGCCTTGTTCATTTAAATGTATTTTTTTATATTCTCACCAGCAGCAGAAGCACAGCAACAGCTGACCAGGTGAGAAAACTTTTCCACTCCCTCTTTAACACCAGCAGGTCGAAGGCAATCGGAATCCTGCAGAGAAAATATACCAAACCTGCATTAAGAGTCATTGAATTTGACAGGTCGGTCTGGGAAAAGTATTGCCAATAAAAAGGCATTTCAGTTTATGACCTTACCCAATCAGAGCAGAGAATGGCCATCCAACAATGGCACCGGCAGCCACGCCCATAATGGCTAACGGTGTTGAGTCCTGAAACCATCCCGTCATGGCAACCATCGTCGTATACATACAGAAAGAGGAAGGTAAGAATGCTGAGGAGAAGAACAAAAGACGAGGATGAATTTTTATACAAAAGTCACAGTCACAATATGTTCCCTCTGCAAAGCCTTTTTCATTCAACCTTCGTATTAACACGGGAATAAAGTGAACAAGCAGATCACAAAAGGTATCATAAATATGAAATGTTCCAGCACAATGTCTAAATGGCAGATCTGCTCTATATTTTGGATCTGATCTGTAATACGTTCTAAAGGCTGGGTGGTAAACACTAAAGACAGTATTAGAAAGGTAGTATCTGAATCAAATACCAAACTGAATAGATGATAAAAATTGACAGAATGGGCGAAAATTAACTAAGTACAAAAATGGATTAACTCAGTAAATCTGACCAACCTGCAGACGAGCAGAACATTCCCGTGCTCAGGACGAGGAATGCTAACATCAGACGACCCACATGCAAACCAAACTTCTTACAAACTGCCCTGTGTCACACATAAACAAACCAAACAGTTAACTTTCATATCATACCATATATACACACACACTTTATATACAGATATCTATATAATCAGCACAAAATGTGCAAGCTAAAGCACTTAGGATGCCCACTTGCATTTAAGAGGAGTGTTAACTCACTTGTAGAAATAGAGCTCACAGGCACAGCAGGAGAACGCTAAGACACACCGTACAAAGTAGAACACCAACACCTGCAACACAATCATTCCTGAAACGTCTGCAAATATTCACAGTATAATGATATACACACGTACCTCAGTATGTGTGCATGTGTGAATTCATGTACGGTTTTGGGTGGCCCCATGTAGGAACATATAGCTACATCAGTTTTTACAGATTTTTACAGAAAAATACATATTGAAAAGGAGCGGATCTGTAACTTAATTCCCACATATTTTATGTTCCTACACAAAAATAATTGCTGTACTGCAGTTTAAAAGAAGAGAAAATGGGGAACACAAAAGAGCTGCTGCTTATCCTGTAGGTCAGTTAAACAATAAAAACAAATGTTAAAAATGACAGCAAGTCTGGAACAGTTACCTTATTTGTCTGGAGAACGTGGGCATGGACACAAGCAGGAAGAGCATGTAGCCATAAGTAAGCGTACGACCTAATGGCGTACAATGGAGAATATTCCCATGTTTGCATCCCCGTGCCGTATAGCAGGTAGTGCATCTGTCAAAACAGTCATCACAACAATTACGTACATGGCAGAATAGCAGTAACTTTCTGGTACAATAAAATAAAAAGGCATAAAAAATCCCTGTAGAGGGTCACAAATTACAGCATTTATGACAGCACTAATCAATCGACGAATTAATCAGGCCAATATAAGGCATTTGAAATAATCGGCACTGGCCAATACCTGCACTCACTTGTCAGTGTGGCTGCTGTGGAACGATATTAGTGCTCCCTCTTGTGAGTTTTAAGAAGGTGGTGAAAAGTTAGTTTCAAGCCCTAAATGGCCATCATCTTTTCTAAATGTTAACACGTTTCTCCCATCCTAAATGACAGCTAATCTAATCTAAAACCAACATTAAATGTATATTGTTACTGCAGAGAATAATACAGCTGAATGACGTCACTTCTGACAAACAGTCTCTCTCAAACACCAGTCACGTTGAGAAATCTACAGCATAACACAATGTATTTTTTCCTTTAATTCATTCATAAAAATTTTATCTAAAACAACACATTACTAGATAAGATAACCATGTATATGAGATTGTTCTTGGCATGGAATAATCAAGTTATACATGACTTTTCTTTGTTCTGACATCGGCCGTCCTGCTCTCTAAATCTCGGCACCAATTATTGAAAAACGCATATCAGTCGATCAATAGATAGCATATTGCACTTTAGCATTTCTGACAGTAGTGAGTTGCACTCACAGGCTCCCAGTAGTTGAAGGTCTCATCACAGTCTGAGATGTTGCTGAGCAAAGCTGCACAGAAACGTGCGGAGAGTAGGCATTTAAATGCAGTTGAAGCTTCTGGAGCCCATACCTGCCCTCCACGACTTACAGAACTATTAAAAAAAAATCACAGATGCACAATTGCTAAATACCCTACAGTAATATAATGCATTATCATTAAGATCCATTTCAGCAACAAAATGCTGGGTTTTTACATTGTACCTCATTGTAATTAAATAGTAACACATCATATCTGTTTGGGGATATTTAATAGGAAATTACCTACATTTTAATAAGTCTAATTAGCCATCTGAAGCACACAATCTAATGAACCTGTATTCTCGCCTTTAACTGATGCTGCCTATGTGTTTTAACATACAGGCTTAGCTGCTTTTAATAAAACACTGGCTAATTAATATGCCCTTTATTACAGAAGTGTTTGGTGGAACACAAGCTAAGTCAGCTTTCAACAGAGAAAAGTTAAGTATATAGTATATACAATATTACATAGAAAACACAGTTGAACTATGTCGGAGCACCATCACTTAGTGTATTAAAAAAAAGGTTAATTAAAACTGATTACACAGTTCTCCTCCACTAGTACTCTTCCGGTTCCAGTTTTCACAATTACCGGTCTGTTTGTTGTCCGTTTTCAGCTGGTGGATGAAACCTAAATATTTTATCTAAACGTTATTTCAATTTTATCTTTGTCCTACCAGCCTTGATTATAATTAACTGTGACTATCATTGTTACTATTATCATTAGTAGCATAATTTTATTGATCCAAGCTTTATTATTACTATTATATAATTTACATTTTACATAATTTGTTTTCTTTTCTTTTTAACTGTCATTCTGTTTATTTTACTACCTCTGCATCCTGCCTGAAAAGTGCTGTATTGGTAAATTATATTACCATCACATGTAGACAGTGCTCGCTTCAAGACACACAGCATGCTGTCTACAGATGACCTCAGAGTTACTGAGGTTTCTGATTACATCACACCATTATCTCCAGCGTGTACAAACATCGCATGGGTCGCCTTAAAATTGTGACGTGTGCATTTTACATACATTTATATATTTTGATCATGAATTTTAATCCATTACCTTTGGGGTTTTTTTCTCCTAATTGTTAGTTTTCACACTAGTCTTTTGGCACTATAAGAGCACACCATATTGTATCTCCTTACATATACTGTTTGTGTACTGTCTGTGACAAATAAACTTTCATATCCTTTAATCCTAAATCCATAGCTGTATCAGGTGTAGTTTCTAATATTGTGTTTACAATAAGCATGGCTGAAGATATTTATTATCTTTTATTATTATAATATTTACTTTTTACTCTTGTTCACACCCATCATCAGATTAGTCGGTTCAATTGCAGTTCAGCATAAATCCTCCCTACGTTTTTAACTTAATATGACACGTCATCTTAATACAACCTGTCAACAAAGTCTTTTAGAGGACTTCAGAAAACTATCAACAACTCCAGTCGCTCATTTAAAATGAACCTTCATGTCCGTGCTGAGCATGAGTTGACCCCCTCCTGACAGCTAAACTGGTCAGCTGTAGTAAATCTGGTGACAGTTGGGAAGAATGAATGAACTGCGTTACGTTTCTCTATTAAAACAGAAACGAGGCAACTAACTTGTTATTTGGACGGAAACTAAACAGTCATTATATTTCAAAGTACTGCAAACACATTTATTTAGGTTGTTATCAATCGTTGTTATCGTGTTGTAGTGATCAAAACTTGCTTAACGTATCAAAGTAGCTTGTTAGCTAGCTAGCTTCCACTGCTCAGGCTGTCAGCCACACCGGGGATGGAGCTTCCCGCACCGGTGGGTCTAACGTCCCTTCTCCCGGCTCATACTCACTCTTGCCGAGTCTCTGTGATACTGCTGTCATCGCTGCCTTTCTCCTCTTTCGGTTGCCGAGCTTCGGAGGGGATGTTCACGTTGTTTGCATCTTGTCTGCTGCCTCGCCTGTTTCGCTGCCGGAGCGCCTTGGCCGCCATGTTTTCCGATGCTGCTCCCGAGTGCGACTTCGTTCATTTCCGCCGCTGTCCGGTTATTGACAGCTCTCATCATAGAGATTATGGATGGCTCTGAGTCGCGAAAAACGGTATTGGGATTGATCCTCTCAGTCAACTACATCCAGCTTCCTTTTAACTTCGCTGTCTAACGTTATATATATATATATATATATATATATATATATATATATATATATATATATATATATATATATATATATATATATATATGTATTGTCCTTATTTTTTTACAATATGTAAAAAAAAAAAAAAGAAGAAGATGGGTTGTCTTTTTAAATAAAAAGAAATCACTCGTTGCACAGAAGGCCTACAATAAATTGAATAAATCAAAATTTTCTTTAGCTGAACAAGGAGCAATCAGTTGTTTGATTATAAGCATGCGGGCTTCTTAACAGTCACTACTGTGTCTTGGAAAGAACTAAATAATTCCTAAACGAAGTAATTATGGGTAAAATACAGTGAACTGTGTTCAAGTGGCACATTAACAATTCATAATTGTTTTTGACTTGATAACATAACCTAGAGTATTTCAGTGGAAAGAAGATCATCTGAACATGCTAAACATGTCTTTGTCTTCAGGCAAGCATACAATTCAACATATGAAGAGTAAATTCATAAATTAATAATTAATTCATATTTGGTTTTAAGTGGAGCAGTTTTTCCAAAAAATCTCTGGAAATCAACTACTGCTTACACAACTAACTCCCAGCTCAAAACTTTGTCTCTATTTTTCCTATGTCTCTATTGTTCCACAAATATTTCCTGCATTACCATCAGAGGAATAAACTGTCTTTGTTTATGAATACTATTCAGACAGAGATTATTGATCTGATGAATTGAGCTGTTTACAAAATACTTGCTTTATGCTTTATTGCAGCATGTATTAAATGTGACAAACTATTTTACAGTGACACTCTGAAATTTATGTTAAATGACAGCTTTATTGTATGATAATTAAAACACACATGATACACATAATTCCAGTCACTTTTCAAAGACTACAACAAGCAATACCTCAACTACTGTAAACACTGTTCAACTGTAGGTTTTCATAAAATACACATATAATTAGCAGTTACAAACAGACCTGTGACCTATGTAAGAGGTTATCCTTGTTTCTCCTTGACATTTAAATGTAGCTACCTGATGGTGACTTGCAACCGAGAGGTAAGAAAGGACTGTAGGTGTTGATGAAACTCGAGGGCTCGTGTGTGTGACAGAGCATGTGTGTGTGAGCGGTAGATGAGTCTGTAGCAGTAACTGGTCTGGCTTAGGTCAGGGTGTGAGAACGTGTCAATGAGTTTAACTTGCTCCACTGTCCCATGACTGGCCTCTCGGACCACAGCGTGGAACTTCCTCTCCTCCCACGTCGGCCCTGTCCAGAAGCTGATGTCGAAGCTGAACTGCTCGGGGAACAGGGAGAATGGGTGGAAAGGCGTCCCTGGCGATGGGCGGGATGCAAACTGTTGTAAAAAGCGTGGTTCGTGTGACCACAGCAGCCGCCAGTCGGGCAGTGAGAACAGGAGCACGGCGAGGAGGTCTAGATTTAGGGACACAGTCACACTCACATGGCGAATGCTGTCTCTTGCATTGCTTGCATACACTCTTCCAACCAAACCCATTGGCTGTGCCATCAGACGCAGACAACCCTGCTGTGTGATTAAGGAGACCCCGTAAGGAGCGAGCAGCTTTTCCAGCCTTTGTCCAAGCAATCTGATTGGCTTACATTCTAAAGGGAAAACACCTCTGAGGAGAAGCTCATGAAAGGAAGGCAGAGCCCAAAGGTTGATAGGCACATTCCTGAACACCAGGCCACTAATGCCAAATAACAAGCTGGTAACACCATTCGAGCCCCCGCAGGACTCCTCCTTCTTGTGTCCTTCAACTTCAACAAGCTTACTATTCCCCTCATTCTCCCCATTACTCTCTGCATCGTTAATCAACTCTTCTTTTTTAGTTAAAAGCTCTTCAATATGAGGGAGCAGTGATGGACGCAGCATATAAAGACCACTTTCCCCTTCAGGATCAACATCTAGAGAGCATGCCGACCTTAAGCTCTCAGCTCCTTTGCTCCTCGCCGTGTCCACTTTCTCTGAGGTGACACATCTGGCTGACAGAGAGTCTCGAGTGTCTGTACGCACCAACGGAGCTTTTGCTTTGTCCGTGGAGGTGTGAACATCACAGTTGAGGTCTTTCTGAAGCAGGTGGATCCAGTAGCAGCGTTTGCTGTCGACGTCACCACAGCACTTCTCCAGCTGTTTGGCCATAAGTAGGAAGGGAATGGTCTCTGTTGTCATGGAGACTGGACACTTCTCCGCCAGTCCTTGGAGAATAAAATCTTGCACCAATCTGACAGGGTGGACAGAGCCTGAGCAGAGAAATCCCCTGATGAAAGAGAAGAGACAGTAAGCACTCGGTTATGTAACTTTGTGTTTTTGCGTTGGTGGCCTATTACTCAAACAGCATGCGAGTCCCTGAGTTACTGCACCTGAATATGTAATCACTGAGCTCGGCTGGTACGTAGTACTGGACATTCTCCCCTTCAACAGCCTCCTCCACTTTTAGTATCTGAGCAGAGGTGTAGGGCAGGCTGCGAGTAAACACATGGAGCAAGGCTCTCTCCACATGAAAGCCCTTATCTTGGCTCCTGTACAATAGCAACACCATTGTTAGACAGTGTCAGTATGCACATGGACACGAAGGGCCGTTTCTATTCACTGTAACACTCACCTTTACCCCTTACCTGTATCCAGTGCACTTGTAGCCCTGGTATTTCTCACTTTCAAAAGGATGGACATCGGTAAGGATGAGGTTTGCCTCTGCTGCCATGGCGGCCACCTGCCAGCTGTTGTGCCACTCTCGCTTCGGGCGGTCCACTGGTGTTCCACCCTGTCCGTTGCACAAGGAAACGTGAACCTCCCCGTCTTCAGCCAACACCTGAACACAACTGGAAGCCCAGATAAAAGTATTCAGTATATTTTAAAGGAAAACGGAAGTTGGAAACCTTTTCAGTTCATAAAAAGGTATGTAGACAACAGAACTAATGATAATCAGAGTTTCGGTAATGATACCAAACTTTTTTCCCCTAATACTTGACTTTGAGAAACATAAACATACTTTTCTATAAAACATTTTTGTCTTCATTTAACACAAGAAGAAGCCAAAGCCCTCAAATGTTAAATGATATCTAAACACAAGCGGCCATACGAGAACTTTATTACATAAATCTTTGAAAAAACTGATAATTCTGATTTCAATTGGGAACTGTCTGATCAAAGAACAAGCATTCGACGCCAGCTTTTAGTCAATACTTACTACTACACACACATTTTGGTCAGTACAAGAAAGAAAACACAGGAATGATACCTTGTTCTATTCATCATTTGTTTTTTGGGCTATACATTGCAAAAACAGTGCTATTAAGTGTTATAAATCTGAGTGAAGAAAAGGAATAATGCCCACACCACTGTGATTTGTGTTAAAAGGAAAAATAATCTTCCTTACAAAACTGCATCCACTGCTTAAGAGAGTGAGATGCTGTTGAAAACTCAGAATAAAGTGATAGTGAGTCCAGCTGAGATTTGTTTCTTTGGTCAAACAATTTCAAAGTCCAAAATGAACTTTAATGAATAATGTTATAATTCAATTTACACCAGCTGACATAATATAAAAGGATTTACATGATGGACGCTAAAGAGAGATCTCTGACTACAGAACATGCTCTGAGTGGATCTAACTGTACTGCACGGTGCTGCTGTACCTGAGGAAGAAGTTTTTAAGAAGTTCTCTGTTCTTTTTAACCCCACTCTTTCTCCCGCAGTGAGGAAAGTTAAACACCACACGGTCAAACGCACGGCCCTGGAGAGAGGCACACTCCCCCAGCTTCCTGCAGTCCACCCCGAAAACCACCTCTCCACCTGATGAACGCATAAGAACAAAGAAAGTGTACAAAAAAGTGCACTCCCATAAAATACAAGTCAGCACCAATATAAAAAGCCCCCACAAAGTCGTACCTGAGTCCTTGATGATCTGAATGTTACTGGCTGCACCTTCATGCCGCAGTGCCTCCTCCTGACGCTGCAGGCAAGTGGCCGTTATGCTGGTCTCGGTTTCAGAGTGTAACTGGCTCACAGAGGCAGAAAATGAGAAGTTCCCTTCTCCCACCAGCAATATGGACCGTGAAGGAGACATGTCCACGCCAACTGGAAATGAAGGGGGGCACAGAGAAACTCAATCCCCTGAATGATTAACGTTACCCCAAAATCTGCTCCCTCATTTATTGCTCGAGTGGAAAAGGAAGAGACGCGTAGGAGCGACAATGATCGTCTTCTTCACGGGCTACTATGATCGCACATTTTAGTAGGAAACGTCAGTATCTTGTGTCAAAGAATGTCTCGGCAAAATAACAGAAAATATATTGACTTTAATGTTGAATAATGGCGTTGACCTTCTCTCGCTCCCCGGCGATGCGGCACATGAAAGTCGAATAATATTATCTCACCTGTAGCAGACTGCGTTCAGCGCTGTGTCGCAGATACAGTAGTCCGATAAGAAACATAATGAACAGTACGTTATTGCCCCGAGCTTTCGAAGCCGCGAAACAACAAAACTAATGTGTTTAAACTTAAGGAGGTGGAAATGTAAAGGTATAATTTTACTAATGTTACCATTGGGTGGTAAACATGCAAATGTAAAGTCGTATTTTTTTCAGACCACAGGGTTGTCGTCATGTTTTCAGAGGGACACATTTGCAGGGTGGCGCATCACATCTGGAGGAGGGAGCTAAATGCTGCATCAGTTCCCAGCATCGATTGCCTTCGCTTATCAGTAGTTTATCTCTAAAAAAAAAATAACCTGACAGGTTTTCTGATGTGCGATCCTCAGTTCCGCTCGGAATTTTAAGGTCTCTTATCAACAACGGAAGTAGGTAGTGAAACAACTAGCGCACATATATGTCTGTTTTTGCTGAAGCTAAGGTCATGCTAGCTAACGGAATTGCTGCACCTGCACTTGAAAATAAGGACAGCCTTGAACGATGCACATAGTCGTATAATCATTCGTGCAACTCAAGTTTTAAATACAATATAAGCCATTTTAAAGCACCAGCAAAATGAATGTTAAATATAAATTTGTATTCATTCATTCAGTTTTGTTCATACTTGATGTCATTACCTCTGAGTGAAGGTGTTGTTCGTTTATATTATTCATAGTCAAAGCATCTGTCTATGCTCTGTTTGGCTAAGGAAAATGTTTTTTTTTTCTTCTGTAAATTACATTTCAGGGTATTTTTTATGCTCTGCCTCTGTGAGTCTGGCTTTGCATGCTGCACCTGCACTATTTAAGTAAATGGGTCATAGCATCATGGTAAATCTTTCCTTTGTGTCTTGTAGGAAGTGTTGCGCCCACATGGGCAGCGTTCTGGCCTTGTCTTCCGGTCCGGGCCATCAGAACTGGCCTTTCTCCACGAACCCCGCTCCTTCTCGGTGGAACACACATCCTGCTCACTGGGACAGCCCGCCACGCTGGGAGAGGAGAGATGGCCGCCTACCCAACCCAGGCAGCTTTCACTCTCTCCACAGGAGCTGCAAAGGTATGTCTGGCTAAAAAAGCCAGACCAGTGGAGTATACACCACGGAGGACGGGGCAGACAATACATGGAGAAAAGTAGTCAGGCAATTGAATGCTTGACGCAAAAAGCATTTTGTATGTGGTGAAAAATCTCATTGTAAAACAATGCCAACATCGTACTCGTGGAACATTTTTTTCCAACCCCAAAGTTCAAATGTAGTTAGCTCTCCCAAAATAATGTGTAAAAGTCTATTTTTACTATTTTAGCTTTGAAAATAATGTTTTTTTTGTGACTCGATAATCATATCTCAAGAAAACATTAATTACACATAATCCCTTAATCTGAAAAAGGAAACTAATTGATCTGAAATCAATCTCACTATCAGAAATGGGGAATAATCAGATGATAACAGTGTATGTGAACGCACCAAATGTGATGATAATGTTACATGAGCTGTCTGTTTTTGTCTCTGTCTCCCCAGATGTTTTTCCTCAACAGATTGAGGGAGTCAAGATGATCCTCAATAAAACTCTGAGCAGCTTCTTCAAGGTGTCTCTTCCACCCACATTCATTTACATTCAGTCAATTTGTGGCATATAAATATAATTAGGGTGTAAATCTCTTACATCTGTAAATGTATTAATCTAATCTTTTACATGAGCCATGTGTTTCCTTCCAGGTCAGTCATGCTCTCCACCTTAGTGCTGTCAGTCCTTCGTACTATCGATTCCACGTTGAGCATCTGCAGTCTGATGATTACAGCAAGGACAAGGTAAAGCACGACTCATCACATAAGAAATATTTTACCATTACTTTATCGCTTATGTGTTCAGCTGTATAGCTGCTTAGCTCTAAGCTGCTTTTTTGAGTTGACAGGTTGCATCTTTATGCTTCTTCACATTTTAGGATGCCCCGGCATTGATCGGTGAGATGGACTCTTCGGGAAGTCTGAATGCTCACGCTCTGCTGCATCTCACTGAGCGCGTACGAGCCAGAACAGTGTTCCAGGTAAGATCCTAATGTCTGTCTCTTTCCTTAAACCCATCTATCCCATCCCATGTTCAGACATGGTCACAAGTCCCTAGCTTTGCACAAAATGAATGCTGTTTGCTGCAAACAACTTAACGGTTGAGTTGATTGTGTTTTAGACCCAGCAGTCCCAGTTTGTAACGTGGCAGTTTGAAACTGAGTACAGAGGGAGCGACTTCACTGCAGCCGTGACAGTAGCCAACCCAGACGTCCTTAGAGAGTCAGGTGAGACATGACAGGTGGAACAATAAAAGCCTTCCTTGAGCATCACTCAGTTTTATCATCTGTAGTTCGTGATGAAGATCAAAATATTGGCATGCTATCAGTTTCCACCAATATTAGAAAAAAGTACAAATGCAGTCAGCAAATCAGTGTATCTCTGTGTGTTTCTCTTGGACAGTTATCCTCGTAGCACACTTCCTGCAGAGTGTGTCTTCTGGGCTTGTGTTAGGAGGGGAGCTGGTCTACCATCGGGGCCGAGCTGAGGAAGGTGGAATTCTAACTTTGGCTGGACAGTACTCAAGTGAGATTTTGGGCTTAACTGTGAATCTGCTTCACACCTCTGACTGAATTGAGCTGGCATCTTTCTTGATCTGTTTGAACCTGATTTAGCAGCAGTGTTTTAACCTTTTTTCCATGTCTCCATGCAGGACCAAACTGGGTGGCGACGTTGAATGCTGGGAAAGGAGGTGCCCATGCTAGTTACTATCACAGAGCCAACAAACAGGTATAGCAAATACCACTGGGCTTTATAAACACATCAGTTACTCTTGGTGCATATTGAAAATGTGCTTTGGAAATGTGTTTGTGTTCACCAGATCCAAGTTGGAGTGGAGTTTGAAGCCAGCACCAGGACCCAGGAGACCACAACCTCATTTGGGTACCAGATGGAACTCCCAGAGGCCAACATGGTCTTTCGAGGTAAATTTCTTTCTGCAACTTTGAGTCAAATGTCATGCTTAATGAAAACTATCAAGAAAACATGCAAGATATGAGACTGAGATCTGGTCGAGGCAGATGGCCACCCACCCTGAGCCATGTTTCTGCTCAAGGTTTCTGCCTCTTAAAAGGAAGATTGCCTTGCCTCTGTCGCCTAGTGCTTGCTCTTGGTGGGAATTATTGGGTTTCTGTGAATAATATCACATAGTACGGTCTAGACCTGTTCTTTTATGAAAAGCGCAATGAGATAACTGTTGTTGTGATTTGGCGCTATTTAAATAAAATTGAATTGAATGAGACCTTTTTTTTGTGTGTATCCAGGTATGATTAACAGTCGGTGCATAATAGGAGGCGTGTTGGAGAAGCGTCTGACCCCGCTCCCTGCAACCCTGATCATGGGTGCCTTTGTAAATCACAGAGGTGACAAGCTGCAAGTGGGCCTAGGCGTCAACGTGGGATAATCCTCCACTAATCCCTGCTGGAATTACATCTCCCATCAGGACATCCTTCCAGAGAGCTGTTTCAGAGGCTTCATGATGACCTGATCTTCCAAGGTTTATCAGCCTCACTCAAACGCTTCCTACGAACCACCTGAGTATTGTGGATTGTTTCGGAGGTTGAATCCCAAAATGTTTCCTTAAACTGATTGCATCTCATCTTGAAACCTACCTCTCAAAACTGAGGTGATGTTTTCTGATTGGGACAATAGGATTGAACAGGAAAAATGGATGAGGGGCTCAACAACTGTGAGTGGAGAAATGTTACTGTCCCCCAGAAACCAGACTGCTCATCACCTGCTGGACAATGGAAACAGAATGGATAAGATGCAAACTGTACTGAAAATAAAAAAAGTTTTTACCATAAGGAAACTTAATGTATATTCAGTAGAGTATATGGAAAGATACTAATGTTTGTTATCTATAACTATAATTCTTGTTTACCTGACCGTTCTGCCGACCATTTTCTAAAGCACACCATTATTTGTAAAACTAATACATGATTTTTCCCATCTTCCAGGCAGCCATTTGTATGGAAGCTCTGAGCAAGTGAGTAAAACATTAATGGTGAGCCATTTTTTCTGATCTAAATTGTTTTCTCTTCTGTGTTTATGACTTAAGAGCAGGTATAAAAAAGGTTTTGTCCAGATAATCTTTCTAAGTTTGTTTAGTTGGTGAAAAATATTTGCTTTGACAGGTTCAAAATGCTGTAGTCCTATTTATTTCTGCAGTGGGTGATTAAAACTTCTCAGAAGATCATAGGCACTCATCTCCTGAGCATTAGTGATATTGGTGAGGTGAGGTGCCTACGCAGAGCCCAAAGGATACTTTCCCACCTTAATTTAAAAAGAAATTAGCAAACTTAGAAAGATTATCAGGGCTAACCCCCTTTTCGTCAGTTCTTAAGTCATAAACAAAGGAGAGAAACAAAAAAGTCTTACTTGCCTCTCAGGGCTTCTGTAAATTGTCATGCCAGTCAAATTCACGTTATTCTGTCCACATTGGCTCACTGTTATTCTTGTGGGTTTTATTTAGCATAGCTCACCAATGTATCTGTCTCCTAAATCTTGAATGTGGGGGCTCCTGATTGCTTGAATGCTCTAACATGGATGAGGTTTGAAAAGATTGCTGCCCTCTTGCATTACCTCATGATACCAGAAAAAACATAGGTTAAATTGTCACTTATCTCAGGCCAGTCTCTGTGAGCTGAACTTCATACAAATGCGAGAGAGGAGCAATCTAAAAAGTGGTCGGCAGAAATGTAAAATGGATGAAATCGAGCTAAAACACCAGTATGATTCTTAAAACTGTGTGTATGAGTAAGTGATTGAGTGTTTGATTCTGTGCACATATTTATTTTTTTGGCCAGCATGTAAAAGTGTGTGAGATTCCACACATGAACAGCCTGTTGACTCTAAGGGAAAAGATGCTGCTCCACATATACTAACCTCCAGCTGAGGGACATGAGAGCGGCTATGCACTGACACTACTGAGCCAGGCCTGTACTGTATGTATGTATGTATGTAGATGGAAACACTGACCTGTATGCAACCTGCACTAACCATGCTGCTTCTGGGCATTTCCAGTCCTGTTTAACGTAAGAAATGTTGCATAATTATGAATTTATTTATACATTAATGTAATATAAACATAGAGAGAAGTGGAAGGGAGTCACCGTCTTTTTGGACTTAATTTATTAAAAATGTTATTTCTATCATAGTTACTGTTTTATTTTTTCTTCCACATTAATATTCATCATACTACATAGCAGTTCTGTAGATATGACAGTGTTCATTGTGATTTAAAGCACCACTAATCACCTGTTGTGACAAACCAATAGAAAATTACCACCTAGCTAAGCTTACCCCCAGCACCAAGGTGTTTTTAGCCTCCTTTAGCTCATTGTTTTGGTTCTACATACATAGTTTAGCATCTAGCAAGCTAAACACATATTTTTCTCAGGGATTATAAGGGACCAAAACAAAGCTAAAGGGAGAGTGACTGTTGGACATTTATCAGGTGGCCAGATTCTAAATTAATGTCAGTGTTGCTCCATGGCTGCGGGATGTTTTAATAGTTGTTGATAACATAAACAGCTTTATAAGAATATAAGATGTCTGTTTCGTGTTCAATTCAGCTTGTCCTGCCTCAAGGTGTGTTCAGACAGAAGCCAAGTCAGCCTTTGGACTGTTGTGGGTTGTTTTTTTTGGCACAAACAACCAACAGATGTTAGCTGTAAGCTAGCTAGCAATGGACCATGTCAGACTGTGTCTGTGGGAGTGTGCCAGTGTGTTTCTGTCATTTTCCTGCAGTCTCTCTCCTTTTGTGACCAAAATAAATAAATGCAGCCTTAAGATACTGTGGTGAAACAAATGATGAACCAACAAATAGAGACTCATTTGTGGCGTTACATGTTTAATACAAAGTCCTAAAAACTGAATTTACAGATATACTGTACATACATAAATACAAATATATTCAAATATGAGGTCTGTAAACATTTTCCTTGTTGACGCTGATAACACATTATTTGGTAGCATAAGCTCACAGTGACGAAGACAAAGGCTGATACTCTGTCAGTGTAAACTGCTGCCACTTCTCTCTGTCATTTTTCTTTGAAAAAGGAAGAGAAGAATCCTTTCCCTCCTTCTCCCTTCACTCTCAAAGACTTGCTTCTTTGGAGTCCCACAGTGTTCTCTTTCTCTTTGTGCTTTTCTTTCTGTCTCTCCTCCCTTTGCTGCACTTGTTGATTTATCACCAACCGCATGTCCTCCTGCAAAAAGGTAAAAGGTTCATATGGAAAAAGTCAGCTTGTACACTGAACTACTTTAAATGTGTAGCCAAAAGTCAACATTTGGAATTTTACATCCCTGCACAGACTCACCTGCCAGGCATCTAGCTCTTGAGACAGCAACACCTTGTGTTTGATGGTGTTGAGAAGCTGCTGAGTTAGTGTATCTTTCTCCTGACGCACTGTGTCCAGTTCAACCTCTAAAGAACTGGACATTGATGTGAAGATTAGCAAAACATATATCGCTGTGGGCTCAAATTAAATGAGATTATTTCAAATCAAATCAACATATGTCTTGTGTAACTTTACCTGTAGCTTGGCATTCCAGGTCTGCTTCTAAATGGCTTGATTTCCTCCCTCAAAGACTCCAGCTCTTCTTGTTGAGACTTCAACTACAATTGAAAGGCATAATTGTAACTTTTATTTTAATTTAATTTAATTTAATTATATTTATAATTAACTATATTTTTTCCTAAAAATACTCAGATTCCATCATGTCTATACAATTTGAAGATCCCCTCCGGTGATGTTTTAAGGCCTACTTAATTATTTGTGTATGATAAGTTAAGTTCTTAAAATTACTTCTCCTACTTCACTGAAATGTCAGTGTATGCAATGTGGAGGCACATCACACTTGTGTAAGTTGGAAACTAGACCATGAATGGCTCTAGTTGTGATGTTCAAAAATAATCTCATATGTGCACTTATACTCAAATTTAAGGCGAGCATAGAGAAACCTCCTCTCTTCAACAGATGAAACAGTCTCCTATCAAACTCTGCCCACACATCATATTGCACAGTGAATAATTGTAGCAAGATGCAAGTGGTCTGATTTCATTGATTCAAATATTAACTTTCTGGTGTTAGGCTACACTCTTTCCTCTTAAAGCTCAGTATATCTTTGTTATTTATTTAAACAATTAGCCAGGCCTGTATATTCTAGAGACAAATCAGCAAATGCATATATTTCTCTAGCAGCAACAATTTTCACCCATTCTAAGTAACCTTAACCCACTGAAATGAAAACCAGCAACAAATCGCAGTATGTGCCCTACTCATGTAAATCAACAAGTTGAAGTGTGTGAAAAAGGTATGTGTGGTTGTATACAGTTCAACAGACCTTCTCTGTGAGCGTTTGTATCTCTTTGTCTCTTGCCTGCAGGACTGTGGAGTGAGCCAGAAGAGCCTCTTTAGCCTGGTTAGCAGGAGAGATATAAACAACAACACCGCAGATAGGAAGGTCAGTATCAACTGAAGTACTTTTTACTGGGTGTTTGTGCTTTCAATGCAAATTTGACTACAAAGAGGATGGTGATTTAGAAGACGGGTTCAGTCTCAAACTATCAAAAAATAAATAAAAGGATGTCAGTACAGGGTCAGAATTAGTACACACTAGCAAATGTTAAAGTTGTCAGTGCAGTTATTCATTGTGTGTGTGTGTGTACCTGTGATTGCTGAATTTCACTAAGCAGAGACAATGGTTGTGTGTGTGTACTGTCCAGAATGCCATCTTCTCCCAGGTTCAGAGCTTTCTGCTGTAGAGAGCGATTCACAGTTCTCAACTCAAACACCACTCCCTGCTCCTGCTCTATCTACATATGCACACACGCACACACACACACACACACACACACACACAGAGTGAGACACAGGCACACACCCTGATCAAGAGCTTCAAAGTAGTCATGTTAGTGATGAGTAATTTCTCCTGCAGCTAATGATTCTCCATCAGGCATTATCATTCAGCGCTACAGTTCATCTTAAATACCAGCTGGCCTCTGATCCTCACCTCTGCCTCTTTTTCTCTGAGGGTCGTTTGTAGTTCTGACAGTCTATCTCTCAGTTGCTCTCTCTCCACGCGAAGTCTGTCGCTCTGCTCCTGTGAAGCTTTTAGTTGTGCCTCCATGTGCGACAGCCGCTCCAGCAAAACTCTGTTCTGTATGGTAAAAAAGCAAAAGATGGATGACCATGAAATACTGAATAATGATATACAATGAAAGAGGACTAAACGAAATTACTGCCATGAGCACTTTGGCTGTTGGATTATGCTTTGCTGAGCATTTCTTTTAGATTGTGTCAAATACATTTATAACTGGATGTTGATGCTTTATACGGATGCTTATGTGCAGAAATCTGTTAAATCTTTATGGGTTTACTTAATATTCTGCCAGTATTTCCATAGACTCGAGACTTAGATTCAGACTCAAGCCACCAAAACGGGACTAGGATTTAGATTGAATTCAGACTTGACTTCCTAAAGACTTGACCTAAACTGAGACTTTGAAACAAAAAAGTTTAAGTCTCTAGTTTCAGCTTGGTAAAATCCCCAAATTAAAACATTTAAGACAGCCACAGGCTGGCCTTGGATAGCACGCCTTGAATATTTAACTTTGATGATCAGCATAGAATTACTTGAGACTTGACTTGAATTTGAAACCAGCTCTCCTTACTTTCACATTGTATTATCATTTCATACAATTTGGCCATGTTGGAAATGTAACGCCTTTTGTGTGTGACCTACTATCCTGCAGTATTCAAGACAGCACAATATGTTCAAGACTGTCACACTAAAACTTTGGCCTACTTGGACTACTTCTGCAGAACATTAAGAAGTGACTGGTAAGGATACCTCTGCTTGTACGTTCTCTAATTGTGTGAAGTTGATATTTCGGCTGAAAGATGATTCTTCCATCTCTTCTCTGAGGCAACGAAGCTCAGTCCTCAAGGTGTGTTCCAGTGTTACAGCCTAGATGGGTGATGAACAGTTGAGACATCTGTTCAATGAGTAACAAAGGTGAGACTACCAAAACCTGCTAGCCTGCATTTTTACTGTCTTTGTGACTGTGACACCACACACACACATTCACATTTCCACACAAAAACAAACACACACTCACCTAGATTCTGTTTATTTTAAAAGTATAATTGCAATGTTTTCTTTGGTGGGTTAGCAGCTCATTAAGGCAGGGTTCAAACTAACCTCTGCTAGCTGCTCCACCAAGCGCTGGTTATGATTGGCTAACTGAGTCAGCTGTTCACTCTCATCCCTTCGCCGGTCGCGCCCGTGGCTGTGATGTCGCTCCAGCTCAGCCCTCAAGGCAGCTAAATCTGCAGTTAGCTCTGCCTCTCTCTGCCCAGACGTCAGTTCATTCATCTCCAGCTTCCTCTGAAGAATATGCCTCTCCTGCTGTAAAGCCTGAGACATTAAACACGACATTAAGTGGCTTCAGGGCAACATTTAAAATGTCAGATACTGAAATACATAATTTTATGTCTGTATTCTTGTTACTTTGAATGTGAAGTGAAATGTGTCAGTTTCAAGGCCACAAAAGTCGATTTCACATCCGACATTTTATTATTTACACTTGTGCTTTTCCTACTGCAACATGTCAAAACTGAAAAATTAAAAAAAGGCCTTTCCTGTTCATTTTTACTCTCTATCAGGGACAGATACCTGCAGTGTAATAAATGCATGCAAGTAAATTACTTAGAAAGCAGTGTTCAAAACAACAATAACAATACTACCAATGCTGATACTTTTAACAATAAAAATAATATATAAATATGTGTAACTTCTTTCTGCACGATTCTCTTCTTTGTTCTTACCTCACTATATTGTTTAAGTTTGCATATTTACAAAAAACAGTGTCTACAGCAGCTTTATCCTTACCTCCAACTCCCTCTCCCTCTGCTCCAGAGAGGTTGCCAGCTCCTCATTCTTCTCTAGTAAAGCTTGTCCCAGCTCTGCAGCTAGTATCAGATCCGTCTCTATCCCTCCTCCGTTGTCACTGCTGCCAGGAGAGGATGTGGAGGAGGGGAGAGCAAAGGAGGATGAGGAGAGAGGGAAAAAGGAGTCCTCCAGGCTTGGGGAGGGAAGACTGCTTTTCCTAGGAGTGAACATTGTTGACAGTTGCCGGCTTGTAGGAGTCACTTAGAAAACATCATCCCAGGTCCTTGGACTTGTAATCCACACTCACACAGGTGGCAGGTGGACAGCCATGAACTTTTGTAAAATCAGGAATCCTTGTTTGTTGGCAGTCTGGTCTGGCGTGCTTTGATGTGATTACTTTTTCCAATGTTGTAATCCAGAGTATCTGCCAAACTTGTTCTTCACTGCGGTGCCAGTGATTCTGATGCTGGTATCATTCAAATCATCTCTTCTCCTTGTCACAGATAACTCTGTGGGTGAGAAAAGACTATGAGCAGATTTATTAACTGTAACTGAAATTCAGAACATATACTATGACGTCTTGTGTGTGTGTGTCACACTAGTTGTTTTCTAGCAATATAATCTCACATAGCCTTTAAGGAGGTCTTTTGTCTGACCGGTGCTTTTGTTACTCAAACCGAAATACCATCTCTTCTGTTCTGCTCCCCTCCCTAAATTCCAAAGGCATTGTGCTCTACGATTACCTACAAAAACAACAGTCTTGAATGTTCATAGAACAGTCTCTAAAGTAATAGATTTAGGCCAAATCATTAAGAAACAATCTCCCCTACGCTTGTCTTAAAAATGTTTTTTGCCTAAAATAAGGCTTAATAAGAAGTTTCTTCTGCACACTGTTATTTCCAGTCACGACAGGATCATGTCTAGATGAATTCTGTCTATATACACTAAAGTTTGATGACAATATAGTTGACCTCTTAAGTCTGAATCACCCCATTCTCCCGTGACATTTCTGTATTTGAATTTGACGTCACCATCTGCCATCTCACCTGTCTCACTTCCATGAAACCATGGAATCATGCTGTCATCCGATGTAGAATCATTTAAAAGCAATGTAATAAATGAATCCCTACTTCCTACAAGAACTGCTGGAACCTGTGCTAACCCATGTCTGCCCTGACTTCGAAGGAAACAAAAAATAAGTCTGTCTTACCTGACAGTTCCCAGCCAACTCACTCCAAACAGGTATAGTCTTCCTGTTTGGTGAGTGTGCAAGTGTATGTGTGTCAGTGTGTATGTGTGTATTTGGGAGTGTTTGCACAAGAGAGGCTCAGCTGGTTTCCTTGGCAGTGGAAACATACAGTATGTAAATATAGCCAGTGGCTCCACCTCCTGAATTAAAAAGGGAGGAATACACTGAGAGGTAGAACAGGAAAGATGGTAACTGTCAGTGGCGTGTTTGCGGAGATAGCAGCTGGACAAGGTAGGGGAAAACACTGATTAACTCTGAGGAATGCGTTGTCAAAAAGGTTTAACACTCGGCTGTTTGAGTGGGGGTTACACAGGGTGAGAAATGGAGAGAGGGGAAGGTCAGGACACAAGCAGGGGTCTGTCTAATCTGGCCCTCCTCCTCCTCGTCCCCCATCCTGTTTACCTGCTTGAAGGATTTGAATGGAGCCCTGTGTGTGCTCATGTATAAGGTAGGGGGTAGGGAGAGTGGAAAAAGGGACGGCCATCACTACACCTCCTTCTCAGAGACGGCAGAAGGGAACAAAAAACCTTCACCAAGAGAACAAAAACTGCCATTGGATCATTTAGTGCGTTCTCATACAGACATGTTTTGCAAACTCTGGCTTGCTGTTTCACTGTGGCTTTTGCTGCCAACTTCCAACGCCGGAAGGCAGATGCCTAAACTTGCTGACAAGAAACTCTGCGCTGACTCTGAATGCAGCTGTAAGTAGCACACCCAACAACTTCTTTTTGCTGCTAAACTATGTTGTGATCACATGTAGGTAGAATCGAAATGATCACAGAGCATGTGTGAAATTTGCATAAAACTATGACAAAGATTATAAACTGCAAAAATCCTATGATGCCCTTCTTCCCCAACTCACGTCACTCTCCTTATCTCGTGCACAGATCCTATCTTGATAGCTCGTGCACTGCAGGATTACTACCCTGGAGATTGCAGGTTCATCCCCATCAGACAGGGGCAACTCATCTATGTCTATGCAATGCTAAAGGACAGAGGGAACCTTTTCTGGGCTGGCAGTGTAAGTAAATAATAACTTTTACTTTGGCATAGCTTTTAGCCAAAGAGACCTGAAGAAGTGATGTTGTCAATAACATTTATCTACGCCACCTGTTTGCAGGTACAAGACTCTTATTATGGGCAGCAGGAGGCTCGCATTGGCCACTTCCCCAGCAGCATAGTGGAGGAGACACACCCTCTCATGCCAGCCAGCACCGAAGTCAAGACTACTGTAAGTGAACACACACACACACACACACACACACACACGTATGCATTATGATGCTTTCTCATAATTCTTTACCTTTCTTCTTATTTCCAGGAATGGGACTTCTACTGTTACTGATAAGGAGAACAACCTTCTTGTTGACAACTTCCCTTCCACTTTATTTGGTATCATATGATCTTACATAATATATGACAGTACGTAGGTATCCACAGCATTCATAATCTGCACTTTAGAAAATGAGGATAATAGCTCTATACAGAAACAGTTCAAAGCACTGAAGAAAGAACCATTGTTGCTTAACGCTCCAGATTTGACTTATTGTGTCTCTTTTCTTCTCCATCATACCAATTATATATATTTTGCAGGTATGACAAGTATTAAGTGTAAGTGTAAAAGTGAAATAATGTGTTTTAAAAAGGTTTCACAATTATAAATTATGCATATCTTTTATTTACACAATATGTTAAACAACTACTCTTTCTTCATGATTGTGTATCACAAAAGAATACACAAGAAATGTCTATGAGCAATGTCAGCTGCTCTTTTAATTTTGGGTGTAAAATATAACAATAATTTAACTAAAAGGTACAGCAATTAAGCAGAAAAATGTAATTATCATACAGGTTACTTATGCAATATACTACATATACTTTCTTTTTTTCCAATTTAATTTTTTCTGAACAAAGGTTTTTTCAGAAAAGGTTTTCTGGCCTACTATCATATTGAGTAATTAGAATAAAAGGAAGCTGATGTATGTCTAATGCACATGCAAGAGTGCAGAGTGGATTAAAGTAAATGGAAGCAGTAGTATTTGTGTTAAAACGTTGTTTGCATGTTTGATAATGGCAAAATAAAGAAATTAGTGTTGAAAATAACATATTTTTATCTGACATTCCTTTAAAAATCCACAAAACTTGTAATTGCTGCTTTTATGTTAATCCTTTGTATGACACTGAAATAAGACCTATTTTTGACAGAATGATTATCATGATTATCATATAAATCTACACCGACTTGACAAAAACAAATATGTGAGTTCTTGTTTTAAATCAGGTAAGAAAGTAATTTCTTCTCCCCATGTGTATGAAGTTATGTGAAGCTTCACACATAAAAACAACACACAGCTATGAGTTTGAGTTTCAACATTTATTCTCTTTGTTGTTTTCTGTGTTAATATGCCAGAGGGTTGTTGCCAGTATGAAGGAATGATAAAGCTGTAATTCTTGCATCTACAAGCACATTTGCTCTCTCACTCACACACACACACACACACACACACACACACACACACACACACACACACACACACACACACACACACACCACACACACACACACACACACGCACACACACGCACGCACACACACTTTACTTAGCAGCTCAGAGGCCATGCTCCCCAGCAGAAAAGGAGCCCCGTGATGAAAGCTGTCTCTCTCCAAACATCAGTTCCTCCCACGTCCACAACCTTCCCTCGTGCTCATTCACCCTCTTTCTTCCTCTCAACGAGTACACACCTGGTCCCAAGTCCAATGGTGGCTTCCTTTTTTAGTGAACAAACTAAAAATGACTGTACATGCCTCCAGAGAACTACCTCCTCCTCACACATACACAAACAAAGCAGAGCACTGTGTCCTGTAGATACATATACATTTAACAAGTTCAGTTTGGTATTATCTTCTGTGGGCAATTTTGAGAAGAATTATTTGCATTTCCACTCACTTAAATGTATATTTCCTGCAAAATGAATAGGCGCTGCAAGCTAGTTTGGGTTCAGTTAACAAACGCTTACAATTCTGCCACTAAACTGCAGGGCCAGTACAGACATGATATAACATTCAAATGCCTGATGCAGGAAAGGAAATGCCTTTCAAAATACGATTAGGTGTAATCGGTCATTTACATACACAGTAGTGTGAATATTTCTGGCAGAGAGGTATGGTTTTAAGAGTGATTCTTTAGGCTTGTGATAGGGAAAATAACTCTCAGGAGTTTTTTTATCCTCTACCTCACTCCAGTTCATGGGTTCAACATATTAGCCTTTGGTTTTAAAGCATCATTGTCTTGCAGAAACATCGGAATAACAGTGAGTTAGGAATGAGATACTGGTTTATTAGAAGGCACTTGCACTTAAAAATATCTAGACTTGTATGCCTTGCCTACTGTATACGTGTACTGAACTGCCATCAAAACTGTAAGAGGTTAAATATAAAAACAGGCAGCACTTTGGGTTAGTTGTGAAACAGTGTTAGAAGCGTCAGATCTACATTTTCTGTTTCTGTGTTCCATCTTCGCAGGAAATAGGAATACTGCGCTCGGGACCAGGAAATGACCGAGGCGCAGTGATTGTAAGCACCCCATCATATGACAGACAGGAGGTGATATCAGCACCTGTCACGCCAGCAGGAAGCCTGTACTTTCGCACAAACTCTCTTGACACAAAGCCATGGTCATCCTGGAAACAGAATTAGTGTGTCAGTAAAGTGTCACCAAAGTCAATCGTTGTTTGACTATTTATGTGCAGATCTCTATAGTCCCTCTAACCTGTCTGTCTTCATGCTTGCCGTGTATTGTGATGAACTCGTCACTGACACAGACAGACAGCTCCTCAGGTGAGAAATGCTTCACATCCAGATAAATGATGTAACGATCCTTCTCGATGCGCATCTACACAAACAATACAACTGTTAGGAACAGTACTCACAACTTTTTTTGCAAGCTTGTAGTCTGGAGTCCACTGGTCACAAAAACACACAATCGCTTGTTATTGTAATCTCAGTGCAAGACTCATACTTCTAAATTAAACAGGGAGTGGCATCAGTGGAAAAAGATATTCTTCAGTGGCATTTTTCACTCATTAATGTAAAATCTTACAAATACATCACATATTAAAAATGTCTATGCATCTAATGGCCTGTCACATGATTCTACACACTACAGTACATTAGTTATTAATACTGTTTTTATTATAAGTAGTATTAGAAGAGATACTGGTAATAGGTCAATAGTCAACTTGTAGGTATTTTAGACAATTTGATTATTTTAAAGATACAGTTGAATTTTACTTTACCTCACTGTGTCCATTGTCGGACCAATTGAACCAACGCATGAACGAAGGACGCAGCCAGGAGAAGGACCAGGGCAAGGGCCAGAGTAGTGGCCAATCAGTAAGAGGTTCTGTCAAGGCGAGGTCAGAGAGTCGACGTGGGAAAGCCCGACGGTACCAGGGATATTGGATGGGGATATCCATGATGTGATTCCAGAGGGGATGTAAAAACGATGGGTAAGCAGGAGGACCTGGACTGGGATGGGTGCTGCTGTGCTCTCCTGTGGCGCATTTATAGGCCTTTCCCTCCTATCCCACCCGGGCCCTGTCTCTGATCACGTCCTCTGCATCCCCTCCCCTCTGTAACCTCCCATGCACACTTGCATAGTGACTTTGCCAACAGGCTGATCTTTCTGGAACAATGATGTCAACTGTTTATCCCTCCATCACCCTCATTGTTTCATGTCTGACTGTGACTGGTTGTCTCTCTCTCTCGCTCTCTCTCTCTCTACGTCTCTGTAAAACTCTGTGTCTCTGTCGCTCCCTTCTCACAGTCATGAGGTGACATTGGCTCGGAGTACTGCTGATGCCCCCATACTCATTCCCCAGGAAATGCCCCCGTCTGGATCTGTGTGTGTGTCTGCGTGTGATTGTGTGTGTGTGTGTTTGAGGAACAGCTGCCAGAGCATTAGCTTGCTGTGCTCTGGGTGCCAGAAGCTTTAGGTTTGTGTGCAGAATGGATGTGAGCATGAATGGGAATTGATGAGTTTGTAGGGGGCAGCATTAGGTGACATTCTAAGCGTGTATCATTTTGCTATGAGCTCAGATGTAAAATATGAAGTCCTTTCCAACTGTGCAACAGTTGTGCCAACCAAATTTCTATCAGTCTGTGCTTCATCCTGCCAGTTGTGTTGTCTCCAATGTCGGAGTACTGTACATATTGCATGTGTGTTATCTGCAAGCACTGAGTTTCTAAAGAAACTTCATACAGCCACCATAAGTCTGCCTTCAACCCATCACCAAGCCCTGGCATTGTGCCAGACTTTACCATTTGCCATTTTTACTGAACCTGAGAATCACTGATGACAATTAGGCCTACTACCTTTTTTATCACCAAAAAATTATGTCCTGCATAGTTGTCCCAGATTAAATTAAAGATACTGGGCTATCATTTGGACAGGCCAAGATGAGTTTGGTGAATTTTTGGGGGCCTTTTCTTTGATAGGAACAGCTGGAGAGACAATGTGGGAGAGAGGATGAAATGCAGCAAATGGAATCCCAAGCCACTGTACATGTGGTGCTCTACCAGGTGAGCTAGCTAGCAGGATGAACAGATAACCCACAAAAGCTAGTTTAAAGCCAGACCTAGCAACTAGGTATCTGACAACTTACAGGATAATGGTAAATGCTAAAACATAGTGTAGCAGTAGCACAAGGAGAGAAGAGTCAGGCTGTAGCGGTAACAGTATGATAATATCTAACAATACTGAATTGAGCAACTGTGTGTTTTATTGATTATATATGCAGTGTTATTGTGTTATTTCTTCTTTCAAAACTTATATGGCTTATATTTATTTATTTGTTTTTGTCTGACCTGATTTTTGCATAACTGGCAATCCATGTGTAGTAAAACTTATGTTACAGTTTTTGTGGATGGTGGTGAGGTATCTAAATAATTTGGGTATCTATAACGTTATAATGTTGTGTAACTTTTGCTGGTTGTTTTTGCATGTGGTGGGTAACCTTATGGTCCTGTTGGATCATTTGCTTCCTGTCTGTTTACCTTCGTTACCACGGTGATGTGCCTTACCCAGACGCTTTGAGCAGTTTGTTGTTGGAGCTACTTAATGTTAGCTAACAGACCTTAGTTTATTAAAATTGCCGCTGTGGCCAGAGGAATGGACTTACCGGCTTCATATTACGGCAGACTTGATAAAAGAAACCCAGTTATTTCAGCCTTTGAACGGGACGTTAACTCGTTTATAACACTGATGAGACGATTCGCTTCTCAGTCGAGCCAAGACAACAACGTGTCTTATGCTAAAGGGTGAGATACTAACGTTAATTGAAGTTAACGTGAGGTGGTTAGCTTTAACTAAACTTTGCAGTCAGCTAAACAGTTACCTGGTAGCTGCCCCAATGACAGCTGTAACGTTATGTCAGAAGAAAAACGTTAACGTTAATATTTATCTAGCTAACTACTATAATCAATTTGTTTATGTTATGGCGTTTAACACTTATTAGTTGTAGCAAACAGGCAGGAAAGGTTTCTCTTTTGAAATTTGAAACTGGGGGCCCACATTATGTCAACCTCACCTTTCCTTTAGAAGCAATGACCAACTCACAAGTTTGTTAGTGGTTCTACACCAATAGGGGCGCTCATTTTTGGCTGAATGTGAAAGCAAAATGTTTAATTTTTGTTTTCTGAATTATTATCAGTATATTAGAGTATTTGTTTATGTAAATTAGATAAACAGTCAATGAAACAGGTGCTCCGATTTAGGATTATTAACATTGTGAGATAAATGTAAAATGTCCTTGTGTCAGTCTGGTTACATTGTAAATTTTAACATTAACATTTTTTGTTATTTTTTATTTTGAAGGATTAAAATCCTCGTGGAGATATGGAAGAAGTACAAACATCGACTGCCTTCGAAGTTGTACCAGGAGCGCATGCTGCAGATTGCAGATTTTCTATTTGGGATAAAGGTAATTCACTGTAGCCTAGATAATACCTACTAATAGTAATAGCTGTCCTCTGCTTTTTCCAACTGCATTTCATCCAAAACTAATTAAATCCATGATTCATAATTTTTTATCAGTATAATGAGGGTGGTGAGAGGAACCATAGTCAGTGTTTTGGGTGCTGTGCATAGTATGCTTACTAGGATATCAGCCATTCAAATAAATAACCTGATGCCAAATGCTTCAGGTTCATAATTCATAATCATAATAAGTTGAAATTTATTTAATATATTTATTTTAGTAATGTCTGTCATAATGCCATAAATATAAGCCATCTTTGAGATGAAAAAGAGAAATAGTTCTGTTACTTGTTGAGCCTATACAATTTGCATGGTTTATTCTACATTGACAACCTCTTGTCCTTTAATGTTGTATCACACTCCTTGCCTCTTTCCTGTCCTTATTATTCATCAGTTGGCCCTATAATTTGTCAGTTTAGTTGGCCAAGATGTCTTTTGCGCAAAACATATTGACAGCTGACATTCCATTTTTCGACCTTCTCCTCTTCATCTGTAGTTGTACCAACTGGCTCTTTGGCATGGCTACAGTCTCCACCTCCTGCAGTTCAATTCAGTGAAAATAACTGACATCACAGATGTGGACCACTTCATGGCTTGCTTCTTCCCTGAAGGTTTTGATACAGACCAAGATATCTTTACCATGAAGGTACACTGTACTATGTGAGCATGTGTGCAGTATGTCTCTGTTTGTGAAATGTTTAACTGTTCACAGACGTTTTTGTCATGTGGAGAAAGGTCATTGACATTTTGAGATATCTGTATCTGATATATCTCAGTATGTAAATTGTGTGTGTGTGTGTGTGTGTGTGTGTGTGTGTGTAGATCCGTGCAATGCAGGGCTGTGCCTTGTGTATATTTGAGCAGGTGAAAAGGCACAGTGTCCTCAGCCAGAAGGGACTCTCTAAACTGCTGCATGTTTTGAACTTCATCAGGATCATGATGCAGGCTTTTCAGCAACATGAGCACCTCTGCTGGCAGATATATAATGGTTAGCACAACTTATATAATTTTGTCCTGTATTTGCTTTTTGTCTGAAAAGAAAATTAAGGAAGAATGAGTTGAGTCATGATTTATCTGTTGCTTAAAGAGAAGTTATAAGATTGTACTGTATTTGATGTTAAATTGCAAAATCTAAACTCCTATTTTCCATATTACTTATCTTTTCCAGGTTCGTTACACATCTACACCATCTGCCGTTACCTGATGACCATGAATTGTAGTGCGCAGGTACTTAGAGATAGATGGTAGATGTTACTTAAGTGACACTACTGATATATCTAGATAGTTTTTGCCATGTCTGGTACACTCTAAATGGAAAGATAAAATTATAAGAATGATACGTGACAGAAGTTGTGAATCAATTGTGTTGTGTCAAGTGTTTAATGATGAGCCACTGGGAGATTTTTCTTACTGGTTGGTTTGGTTTGCGCTAATTTTGACTGAAAAGGTATTTGAGGTTTCAAAAGTGAGCTTTCAGTTATGCATTCTATTATGCACATTGGTTGGAGTCCTTATCCTCCTTCTGGTGTGTTGTGACTGAGAACGACAACATGCAACTCCTATAATTGAGTGGTACTTTTACCAATTGAATGATGTGATATAACCAGAAATTTGTGTGATTTATAATGTAGATAAAATTGTGTGTGTGTGTGTCATGATCCTTTCTTTATACCACCTTTATGATCCTGTCCAGGCTCTGGAGTACCTTCTATGGGCAAGCATTAGTTTAGAGATCTCCATCCCTCTGATGACTGTTAACTATCTGCCATGGATCGTCACACTCTACTGTGCCGTCTGCCACTGTTACTATGACAACCAGGCTGCGGTGCAGGCGGAGGTGAGAGTGGCACGTCATCTGAATCCAGACACCTACAAACACACACTCAACAGAATATTCACAGGCTGATAATAAGTTATACTGTTAATACCAACCGTCACCTGGTGTTGATCTGTCTGCAGATTCCGTTGAACCATATAATGCAATCTATCTGCTGTATGAAGATATTACTGTTCGAAACACATGCTAAATAATGTATTTCTTATGCTTAGCTTTCAAGGTTTCAATGTGTTAAAATAAAATACGGGTGACATGTTTATAATGTATGGACATAAATTGAAATGATATATTAAATATAATTCACATATTGAAGTCACATAGAAAAGGTTCTTAAACTGAATTCCTGATTTATTCTGAAAGTCCTATAACCCATTTGTGGTGCTGTTTGTGTGTCTTAAAACGTTTTCAGGAATTTGCCAGGAGAGCCCTTGGAAAAATCAATGAACTGGCAAAGATGGAGGAGCAGAATGAAGTTCCTACCACCAGAGAGACTCAGAGAGCTTTCAAAGAAGCCTCTATCAAGGCAGGAGACTCCTCTCATCAAAATATATGATGGTGGTATATAGTGGTGATCATTCCCACATTTCAAAAGCATGCAAGGAACATATCGTACATGCAAATGTAAAACTAGGCCAATCTAATCATATATCTAATCATACAGTATCTAATCAATTAAAGTGCCATTTGAAGTGAAGTCTACACAGACCAAGCATGAGATGCCACATTTCTTTTTTAATAACTTGTGCT